TCTCTCTCTCTCTCTCTCTCTCTCTCTCTCTCTCTCTCTCTCTCTCTCTCTCTCTCTCTCTCTCTCTCTCTCTCTCTCTCTTTCTCTCTCTCTCTCCCCCCACCAAACCAGCGCCCCCTCTAGGCAGCGTCATGAAAGGGTCTCCCACAGGCATCCGCGTAAACACCCTCTCGTCCGGCTTCTTCAAGACCGAGCTTTTACGCACCCTCTTAAAAGACGGCAAGGCAGTCGGACAGGGCCTGTACGACGGGCGACGGGCGTGAAGCGCGGCAGGGCGGAGTGACGCTTAAATTGAGGAAGTCGGCGACGTGGGTTTTACTGTTGTGTAGCCCGCAGGTGAAATCTAATGAATAGGGCTAATCTGGATAATTGAGGGGTTTCAAGGATACTGACTGTCACTTGATAAGAAGGAATGGAGAGAGAGAGAGAGAGAGATAGGTCTGATCCGGGGCTTTACGATCAATGCCTACGGAGAAGCCGCTCGCAGTCTGTGATGGCATCGGTGGGGCGTAAGTAAGTAACTTGTAGTTGCGCAAGATGGAGAGATAGGACGAGGATGAGATGATCTCCCTTATGACCTAGCAAGTGCTGGGGATCTTGACGCCTACGCGTGACCTATCGAACTCCACGTCTGAGTGTACTCGGAGATCTCAACAATACCTATACAGAGGAAGGCAACGACCCAGTGTCCTCTAGCTGACTGACTTGCATTCTACATCCAGAGATCTGATATGCAGATGGAGCAGTAGGGGTCGGGAGAACGGGGAAGCAGGTGATAACTGAACGGCAATCAACAGTCGGTTCCGTCTGGGATATTTGGTGGGAGGAAACATATTTATGTGTGAAGTATACCTACCTACCCACCCAATGTCTTCAGGCACGCAAATATCAATATACCAACAAACGCAATTTATCGGCTCAGGGCTGAAAAGATACCGTGTACGCCGACCAATGCCCAATGCCGTTGACATTTCCCAAACAACCCACAGTCTCTTTTCATGTACAATGCAACCCTCTCTTCCCAGAACTCCCCTAAGAAAGAAAAGGCAAGCCCCCAAAGCAAAGTACCGCTGGCCCTATTTCCAATAGACAAACCCCTCCATCAACCTCCTCGCTGTCCGAATAACCGTAACCTTCTTCAACGTCCCCCTCTCATCAAACTTCGCACCGACCAAGATCTTTCCACTCGGATGTCCCACCGTAATGCCACCCTGATCAACTCTTTCTCCCTCCAACACACCCCTAACTATCGAGCCCTCCAGGTTCGCAGCAGCCGCAACAGCCATGGCGACGGTGATCGGGACCGCGCGGTGAGGCTGCCCTACGGAAAGCGCCCTCACTACCAGATCCACATTCGCACCCTCTATCATCTCCCCCGAGAGAAGTACATGCGATGATCTCCGAGATACCAGAGCGATCTTGGGGATAGAGCCAGGGGTAGAAGCCAAATCCGTCGAAACCCCCATCGCAACGGAAGCTCGTCTGCGTATCGAGTCCAGCGTCTCGAGGAGCGTAGGATGAGCATCGATATCGTCCGGTAAGATCGTGCCAGCCACACCGACGTCCCGGGCTTGGATGAACACGCACGGGTTCCCGGCGTCGATACACGTAGCCCGCACGCCGTCGAAGACATCAACCACGTTCCCCGTCGGCAGCAGCTTTCCCGTCTTCGAGCCTCTGTCCCGCCCAACATCAGCCAGGCATCCGCTGCCCTCTCGTTCAACGCCAGTGCCAAAAGGGAAAGGCCGCGAGCGGAGGAAGAGGAGGAGGAGAGGGCTCACTCACGCCGGATCCACGAAACTCAACTCAACTCGCGCCGCCGTCCCCGCCACCCCATCAATCGCAAAATCGCCGTACGCGGCCGCCTCGCCCTCCACAACAGGGAACCGCGCATGTATAATCTTTCCCGTGTTCGTGTTCCGGATCCGGACCAGCGCCATCATTTCATCCCTGGCTCCATCCCCATCCCCCTCCCCCTCCCCCTCCAATATCTCCTCCACCGCAACAAGCCCAGAATCAAGTGCAAAGGGACCCACGGCACTCGTCATGTTCCCGCAGTTACTCGAGAAGTCCACCTCCCTGTCCCTCACCCCGACAGCCGCAAACGTGTAGTCGACATCCGCGTATGCATCCCCGGGCGCGCTCCGGCCCACCACGCAGACTTTCGAGAGGCTGGAGATGCCACCGCCTAGCCCGTCGAGTTGGCGGCCGTAGACGTCCGGGGAACCGAGAGCGGAGAGGAAGATGGTGGGCCAGAGGCTGCGGTTTTCCGGTAGGGAGGAGGATGGGAATATCAGGGCCCGCGAGGTACCGCCGCGGTAGTAGGATGCTGGGGCGCGGTGTTGTCTACGAGGGCGAAGAGAGGAGGAGGTCGAGAGGGGTTTGGAGCCGTAGATATGGAAGGGAAATGATGATGATGGCGAGGAAGAAGGAAATAGTAGATATTTAGGAAAGAAGCGAGACATGATCCTACCTGTAGTTGAGAATTGATAGCATGATGTGGTTGAGATCCCAAATATCTGTATTAGAGATGAGGGCTTAGCTGGCTCACCTGAGGATAGCCGAGAGAGGCTGACAACACGGCTGACTGACTGCCTTTCTGCAGCCTTCTTTCAACACATCACGCTGAGATCTTATTGAAACCCAACCTAGCGCAAGAAGCGATCCCAATGTCAAATCGTTCGCTTTAATCGCGTACAATCTTATCCTCATGTAATGCCAATCCTAATCATCCTACGCCTGAGCCATGCAAGTCCCGCATGTCCTAGCTCAACCCCAGTGTCTACCCAACGGACCCGAGTCCCCAAAAACCATCCCTTTTCCCTATGTGCAAACCAGCCCAGAAGAGAGTCATATATACAGCTTCCTCGAGGATATCAGCAATGAAAGTTTTTCCAACCGACTAGGTACTCATGCACCAGATCATGCCACAGAATCCGAAGAGGACAACGGTTGTCAGAATCCCAACACCGGCCCTGTCACCCTTAGTTACCGGTCCAGTTTGAGTCGGGACGTTGCGACTGTTGCCACCAGCGTTCGGATCACCAATACTGGTCCCTCCGGTCAGATTCGTGAGAGGTCCGGCCACTTGGGCAATCAGGTTGCTTTGAATGACCTCCAGAGCAGCCATCTCCTGGCCAACGCCATAACCGCCATCCCAGGTATCACCCATTGTCCATCTCATGCCACAGGTCCTGCCGTTATCGCCTCCTGAGCATTGTTTTGCGGCCGCAACGGCACTCGGTCCGAGTTTGGCCATTATGGTGTCGAATGTATAGGGAGCCATTTTGGTGGTCGCGGCCATCCAGCGGGACAAGTATGCTTTGAAAGAGTGCTGGTCAACGTTACAAAGTCCATTATTTTCGCATGCAACTTCCTGCATGATGTTGTCTGTGGGAAAGAACACATCGAGACCTTTTATCAGTCCATCTAGCCGTGTTTTCCAAATCGCAGACCCATCGGTGTGGTTGTACATAGTAGCAGCTCCCAGCAACATTGCCCCCGCGTTGTACGTCCATTGGATACGATTTGTTCTTGTGCAGTTGATCGTATCATCGGAACCATCAAACACGTAGTAGTTGTCGTCCAGAAGATCAATGCTGTCCATCCAATCGTACGTCTTCTCTGCCCAGTCCGCATATGTCTGGTTTCCCGTGTATTTTGCAAGTCGCGCGGCAAGGTTAAAGAAGCAGCCATTCGATATCGAGTTTTTGTAGTTGTAGCCATTGTTAAACGTGAAAATCTGCCATTTCAAGCCTCCACCACAACTCGTCATATCCCAGCGCGCAGCTTGGGTGTTGAATACTGCTTGTGCGAGGGAGAGCCATTGTGGTTGGTTTGGCAGCGGGTTTGGGAAGTTGACTTCTGCAGCTGTCATTGCTGCAAGACCCCAGAATGCCTGGTCATCGTTTCCTTCGGTTTTCGTCTGATTTGGAGTCATGTAGTCCCGATGGGGCCCGACTTGCCAGAGCAGGGCCTGGGTCGTCACATCGACGTAACTCGTATCGCCAGTGTAGTACCAGTAGTCTATGCAATCGATCAGCCTGTGACTTCGGTGCAAGAGGACTCCGTAAGGAGGGCTAACATACCAACCATGGCGCCAAACATGGCCCCGGTTTCCCACCTGCCTTCTGTCAGTATATTTTGCGACAGTTTCAGGGTGGTAGCAAATGGAGACTTACCAGTAGTAAGGCCACGGCAGGTTCCCAGGTATTTCTCCAGTTTTGTTCCCGGTGTAATAGCTCATCATATCGAAAGCGATCGAGCTCGCGACAGACTTGATAGAATCTAAGGAAGGCTGTAAGCCAAGTTGACCAAGACTTGCAGAATGCATCGTTCCACTTACCAGGAGAGCTTAAATCTAGAGTCAGGGCATTGGCAACTTGACTTCCAGCCAAACACACCAATGCCGTCCTCGCCACAGAACCAACAGGCCGCATCGCGACGTCGAAATCTTGTACCGAGGGTTGAGATCCGCCAGGGACGCTAGCACGCCGAACTTGATGACGTCGACAGTTGAAAGAATAATTTAGAAATTAAAAATTAAAACTTATAGAGAGAGTACCCCACGGTGGTAATAGCCAGGATCTTCTGCTGCGATCTCAATAGCAATACTGGCGAAAATTTGGTGGTGCAGCGAATATGTTGGTTGGTTGGGTTGAGACCAAAATCGGGCGCTGGAGAATCCGTCGCTTTTCCAGAAAAACAAGTGCTTTACGGGTAGAGAAAATGAAAAGACGGGCTAATATCGAAGGGGGTGAGGTTGAAGAAATCACGAGGAAAGAATAGGGACGATGGGAGATTGTGAGGATAGGAACGATGGGAGGAAAAGTGCTCTCGGCAGGACTTCAATGGACCGCGCGAGGAACCACTGGAACGGCTAGTCCGTAATCACTTACTGCCGAATGCTCTCAGAAACACGCGAGGCAATAACAATAAGGATGCATGTCCACGGCAGCAAATGAAAGTTGGATTGGCAGGAGCCCGTCAAGAGAAGAGAAGAGAAGAGAAGAGAAGTCAAGAAAGGACAAGAGAGAAAAGACGAGAGAGATTCTGACCGTGTTGTGGTGGAGCAAGTAGCATTGCGTCTTCCTTACCCCCACGAGCCGAGCTCGAGATACCGGTACTGGTACCTACTTGTAATCGATACGTATAGGTACCTTTGTAGATCCAGATCACGTGATACCACCTGGATCGAGATTCTGAGGAGGATACCGGTATTTGGCGAGGAGAAGCAGGACGAGCAGTCGGATGTTACAGGAATATCGGAATAGAAGTAGCTTCTGGCAGGACGCTCGCGGCTGGGCTGACCCCGAGCTCTTCCTCTACCGGTACCTCCCTGTGTAACGAAAGACCAGCATTAATCAACAGTGGATAATAGACAATGAAAGAGAGGTACCTAGGACGAGAGGCAGACTTGTTCTCCATACTCCTGCGCCGGCAATTAAGATAACCCTAGTACTCCGACCAGGGGTACGATTACTGTGTCGACAACGTAAACACTCACAAAGGGCTTGACCAAAGAAGTCCTGAATACCAACCTTAGGTTGTACCGGCACATTTCGTTCGAATCCGCCTTATCCGCCTATCCGAGCCCAGCCTCATCAGATTCGCCAGCTCGAGTGGCTGGCAGAGTCCAGACAGGCAGACGCCATCTCGTAAAACCTTATTTTCTTTTTTCTTGCTGTTGTCACGGCATCCCCGTCTCCGACCACCTATCGGTATCACAGCCCCCCTTGATTTGTTTGGATCCAGACGCTGCGGCAGTTGTTTGCGTACCCCTCCGTACATAGGAGTACCGTACATGTGACAGGCACAAAGAATCCAAAGAATCCATAGAATCTGGGAGGAATCGTGCGTGCCGTGAATCATTCTGTGTGGATATAAACAAACAAACTCCATCCCAGTCGGCACTATTGGAATTAACCTTAAGCAAATTGTTCGTGTTCCTACGTACAAGTATATACTATATTAGTCGTTCCTAAATTACCCACGCTACTACCTAGCCCGCCCCCCCAAGTTTCGCAGCCACGGTGAAACGCTGAAACGACGCTCCTCCTCAAACTCACCACCACCCTTACATACCGTATCACCCTCCGACTTTCACCTCGCAACCTTCCACTTCTGAACTCCAACAACGCAACATACCACGCACTCACCTTGTCAACGAATAAACACTCTTCTCTCTATCTAAACTCAATCAATACATACTTCAAAATGGCCAGCGCCGGCGACAGACCCTATGATCCGTACATCCCAACCGACCAAGCACCGGGCGGAGGTAACTCTGCTCCGGGCAACCAGAGAACCGCTGCGCTGCAAGCTGTAAGTCACCCCCTTGGTTCCGAGTCCTGAGAAATGCCGATGCAGCGTCCTGCCTGCCGTGGACGATGAGATTCTGGTTGATGCTGCGACAATGGGCCGATGGGTGATGAGCGATGAGTGATGAGCGATGGGCGATGAGCGATGCCTCCGGCGCAACCAAAGGCGATGCGAACCTACTGGGGCCTCCAATACATACGCTGCAGACAGATATGGGGGTTTAGACAAGGCTGCGGAATTGTGTGGGTGATCGATGAGACCTGGTCTCAAGACGATATTCGAGATGCCGCGGAATGGTTTCAGAATGGTCCTGGCAGCAGCTGCAGAGCAACCAGCGTGCATTAAGCAAAGAGTCGATTCGACAACTTGCGATATACGTTCATCAGCTTCACTTGAGCGACATCCGCGCTGCTATCTCAATGAGCCCTGGATCTTTCTTTCCAGTCTCGTCACCACAGGCAGGAGGATACTTCATCAGTCTTGGCATTGGACAACCACCATGGCCTCCGGAATCGCGCGGATCATTACTCTGTATATTCATGTTCTGACAATTTTCTTTTACAGCAAATCGATGACACAGTTGGTGTGATGCGCGAGAACATCAACAAAGTCTCTCAACGTGGCGAACGTCTCGACTCTCTCCAAGACAAGACCGACAACCTCGCCGTATCCGCACAAGGCTTCCGTCGCGGCGCAAACAGAGTTCGCAAGCAGATGTGGTGGAAGGGTACGTCGGATATTCGTATTTTGGCAGAAAAATGGCTAAAATTGTGCTAGACATGAAGATGAGAATGTGTCTCATTGTCGGAATAATCATCTTGCTTATTGTTATTATTGTACCAGCTGGTAAGAAGGCCTCATACCCAGAACCAAAATATAGCTAACCCCTTAGTAGTTGTGGCCACCAGATAGGTGCATTCAGCACGAAGAGCAGCACGCGGATGGGGGCGCATACTGAACGCAAAGGATGGCTCATGAATTCGTGTCACGGCTAGAAAATTGCCATGAGCGCTGGGATGGCTCATCCTGTTTGTATGTGAACTCTCGCTGGCTACGAGCAAGCAGGATTCAACGAAGGTTTAGCGATTTGGAGTTGTTCTATTTGATTTTACGAAGGTTTCTTTTCCCCAGGGCGCGGCATACCGTGAGGGATCCCTGGGTCTGCCTGTCTTGGAATTTAGACCGATGGATCCTTGGGCGTCACTCTGTATCATGTAGAAATTCTGGTGGGTAGGAGCTAATGGAGACATCATGACTGATAACGAAGTTATGCATGTACCATACTTTGCCTTTCTTCAACACCTTCCCCTTCCCTCTGGTAACCTAAAGCAGTAATGTGCAGTGTCGATTCTTCTTTGCTCGGGATCCAACCAGTGGAAGATCGAGTACCAAGTGGCTCGTGGCAAGGTTGAAAGGGGGTCTGGGTGTGGATAAGATTGTGGATATAGGTGTAGATATACCTACTCTGTAGATGCAATTGCAGTACTTGTTGTGGAAAGCTTTCTTCAAGCGAGCCAGACAGCTGTCGGACACGGAAGCTAGGCTAGTCAACCAACTGGTCCTCGGCCGTTGCAAGTGGCCATAAGCTTTGTTTTCTTTCCTATCCTTTCTCTTTTCTCTCATGGAACAAGCAGGAAAAACATTTTCCTGCAGCTGCATGGAAGGCCCGGTACTGGATCATTGATCACCTACTACCTACTACAACTACGGATAAACGCAGGGCGAAAATCTGATACTTATCAACAAGGTTTTCTTCAGACCGGGGCCAACCCCGATGACGCTCCCCACACTTCAAAATCTTCTCGTACCCGAGTCACTGTGCTGGACTTTACTGTATTTACATTACGTCGTCAACATACATAGCGGGGAGGGCATGAATTTGCGAACTCGCCTGTTTTCATACTCCATCCATTGAATTACTTGCCCGAGGTGCGATTGTTTCTCAGCCAGCCTTCCCTTCCCTCCCCTCTCCTCCTCGGTATCTGACAACGTTGACCCCTCCACCAGCCGTGAGCCTTTTATTCTTCGCCCATGAAATAAAAGGCGCAGGAAATCAAGCCTCGGAACCGCCGACAACCACCTGTGTGCTCTGCTAGAGCTGGAGGTTGACCCTTCGATATACGGTACACTCCGTCAGTCTCCCCTCACAACCCACCAGCACATCCGAGATGTTGGCCCTACGTTCCACGGCTGGCGCTGCCGCCAGAAGGGCATGCACAGCTGCCAGTCGTCTGCCCTTGATCTCAGCACGCACTGTGCCAAAGGCTGGCGCAGCAGCTGCTCTTGCGAACAGGAGGGGATACTCTGCCCCATCCAGCAGCCTGTCGACCCGATCTACGGTCGTGCAGCTGCTGAGCAACATTGGCTCGAAGAGAGAGGTCCAGCAGTACCTCTCCCACTTTAGCTCCGTCTCGCAGCAGCAATTCGCTGTCATTAAGGTCGGAGGAGCCATCCTCACCGAGCACCTCGAATCCCTCACCTCTGCCCTCGCCTTCCTAAACCATGTCGGCCTTTTCCCCGTTGTCGTGCACGGCGCTGGACCACAATTGAACAAGCTGCTGGAGGATGCTGGAGTGGAGCCCCAGTTCGAGGAGGGTATCCGGGTCACGGATGGCAAGACATTGGGTGTTGCGCGCAAGCTGTTCTTGGAGGAGAATATGAAGTTGGTTGAGAAGCTCGAGGAGCTGGGAGTTCGTGCCCGACCGATCACTTCTGGCGTCTTTGGAGCGGACTACCTGGACAAGGCCAAATACAATTTGGTGGGCAAGATTAACAAGGTCAACAAGGCTCCTATCGAGGCAGCTATCAACGCAGGATGTCTGCCAATCTTGACTTCAATGGCTGAGACACCCGAGGGCCAGGTCTTGAACGTCAATGCCGATGTTGCAGCTGCGGAGCTGGCCACGGAGCTTCAACCTCTGAAGATTGTGTTTCTGGCTGAGAAGGGAGGATTGTTCAATGCTGATACTGGGGAGAAGATTTCTGCTATTAATCTGGACGAGGAGTACGAGGACTTGATGTCGCAATGGTGGTGCCGATACGGAACAAGACTGAAGATCAAGGAGTGCAAGCAACTGCTTGAGACGCTCCCGCGAACATCCAGTGTGGCGATCATTCATCCGGCCGATCTCCAGAAGGAGTTGTTCACGGATACCGGAGCGGGAACTCTCATCCGACGAGGCAACAAGTTGTCTACCACTACTGCCATTTCGCAATTTGAGGATATTCAGAAGCTCAAGGATGTTTTGGTCAGAGATCGTGAAGGTCTTGATGCTAAGGCTACAGTTGAGAGATTCGTGGATGGCTTGCAGAAGAAGGAATTCAAGGCGTATTTTGACGAGCCCATGGATGCTCTTGCCATTGTCCTCCCACCTTCACCCGAAAGCAGCCTTGCTAACTTGGCAACTTTCACCATCACCAAGGCCGGATGGTTGACCAACGTCGCAGATAATGTCTTTGCCGCTATCGAGAAGGACAACCCAAAGCTGGTCTGGACCGTTAAGGAGGACGACGAGAACCTAACCTGGTTCTTTGATAAGGCCGAGGGCAGTCTATCGAAGGATGGGGAGGTCATGTTCTGGTACGGGATTGAGAATGGAGACGAGGTTAAGCAGCTTATGACTGAATTTACCAAGCACGGCCGTGCTATGCTCGGTGATGCCAACCTGGAGGAGCGTCTCCATCGAGCTGCGAGAGCTGCCAGCGGAATGAGCGCTTCCATACACCATGTTGGTCAGCCACAACGGCAACAAGCGCGGGCCTTCTCCACCAGCGCTCACAGACCTGTCTCCATGACTACTCGCCCATCCACCCCCCGCACATTCGCTTCTTCGTCACGTGGGTATGCTACCACCACCAACCCAAACCCTCCTTTTGGCTCCAAACACTCTTCTAAGGAGCAGCCAGCCAAGGTCGCCTTGATTGGCGCCCGAGGATACACGGGACAGGCTCTCATCAGCCTTCTTAATGCTCACCCAAATATGGACCTCCGCCACGTTTCATCGCGTGAGTTGGCTGGCCAGAAGCTCAAGGGTTACGAGAAGCGAGACATTACCTACGAGAACCTCACGGCTGAGGACGTCCGCCGCATGGAGGAGAACGGAGAAGTCGACTGCTGGGTGATGGCTCTCCCCAACGGCGTCTGCAAGCCATTCGTCGATGCCGTCAACGAAGGCAAGGGTCCTCAAAATAGCGTCATCGTCGACCTCTCGGCTGACTACCGATTCGACAGCAAGTGGACCTATGGTCTTCCCGAGCTTGTCAACAGATCTGAGATTTCCAAGGCCACCCGGATCGCCAACCCGGGATGTTATGCAACCGCCGCTCAAATAGGCATTGCACCTCTCGTCCCCTTCCTCGGCGGCCAACCTACCGTCTTCGGTGTGTCTGGCTACTCCGGCGCAGGAACCAAGCCTAGCCCCAAAAACGATGTCGACAACCTGACCGGCAACATCATTCCGTACAGCTTGACTGACCACATCCACGAGCGCGAGATCAGCTCGCAGCTTGGCGCTGAGGTTGCCTTTGTCCCCCACGTCGCAGTCTGGTTCCAGGGTATCCACCACACGATCAGCATTCCGCTCAAGCAGAGCATGACGAGCAGAGACATTCGCCAGCTATATCAAGAGCGTTATGCGGGCGAGAGACTCGTAAAGGTCATTGGGGAGCCGCCGAGCGTGAAGAATATTAGCGGCAAGCATGGTGTTGAGATTGGCGGATTTGGCGTGCACAGCTCGGGGAAGCGAGTCGTTGTTTGTGCGACGATTGATAATTTATTGAAGGGGGCTGCTACTCAGTGTTTGCGTAAGTTCTCTCTCATAATACCCGCACTTCCATGAGCCTTTCCTTCCTCTATCACGCCATCGCTCCAAATCCGTACTTAACAAGACTAACATCTGGAATAGAAAACATGAACCTCTCACTCGGCTTCGCCGAGTACGAAGGTATCCCGCTTGATTAGAGGGAGTGGGCGAGTGGGCAATTACGGCGCAATGTTGCATGCAAGCATCCTAGAATGTAAAAGTCTTAGCTTCAAATGCATTTTCTGGATCTGACGCTCTAATTCTCTTTCTTTTATGTTTTTTTTTCCCCTCTCTCGTGCCGGCAGGAGTGAGCGGGCTTGCTTGGCTTGGCTTGGCTGGGCTTTTGACAACAGTGGAGGAGCAGAGCGGCGCCTGGCAGTGCATGTGATCTGCTGGATTCTTCATTATTGAAGAGCCATTAGTGAAGAGGCATTAGTGAAGAGGCGTTAGCGAAGAGGCATTAGTGAAGAGGCGTCAGCGAAGAGGTGAATAGAGAAGCGGAATCGAACTGAAGTGAACGTATGGATCGATTTATCTTTATTACTCTGTGTGTGTGTGTGTGCTTGCTGTTTGCTACTGGATCTGTAGAGAGCTACTCGGGGCGTGGTGGGGAGAGGGCGGGAGGGAGAGCGGGAGGGGGAGGGGGTTAATGGTTAAGTGTTCAAGGTTCATAAGATGCACGATGAATGAATGAATGGATGGATAGATGGAACGATGGCTGGCTCTCAATTTCTTCTCCCCCGTCGTCGTCGTCGTCGTCGTCGTCGTCGTCGTCGTCGTCGTCGTTCTCCTGGGTAGGTGGGTAGGTGGGTAGGTAGGTAGCAAGCTAAGCCCAGCCAAGCTGCCCGGAATCCGGAATTGAATACCGTTCGGGTTGTGTTGGGCTGGCTTGGGCTGGGCTGGGCTGGGTTGGGTTGGGTCTGCTTGTGTATTGTTTACTGGATAGGTGTGAATGTGAAAAGGTTTGAGGGTTGGAGATTGGAGGATGGGTGTGTATGGGTGTATGGGTATATATATATATGGTATGTGGGTGTGTGGGTATATGTGTATATATGTCTGTCTGCGAATAATCTCGAGTGAAAGGGTTTGGATTTCGCTCAGTGTGGCTTGTCCTGTCGGGCGTGGCCTGGAATGGAGGAGGGGTGAGGAGAGGAGAGGAGAGGAGAGGTCTTCTCCCAGCCTCTCTTTCTCCCCCAGTCTCTCCCAATCTCTCTCCCCAGCGACGCTGTAACACAAGTAAGTACCTACCTAAGCCCCCCGCAAACATAACAGTACACAGCACACCCCTCCCTTCCTCACTCACGTAACGTACACGTCTGAGAGGTGCGCGGATATACCCCATGAATTAGGGATACCTAGCACCGTGTCACCCGTATGCTCCATCGAGACACTGAGAAAGAATGCACGAACAGACGAATGAACGCTTGAACTAGCCAAATGCGAAACGAATCAGAGCCGATACCAAAATTTTAATAGGTACCAACTAATACGTTCGATCTGTCCGTCCCACTGACTCACATCCATGTGCACACCGGTTGGTCCCAAGGAGAAGCGAGGCGGAGATCATATCTGATCCATGTAGCAAGCAGGGCGAGAAAATTTGTGAAAGATGGGGGTTGAGGAATTCATTAGAACGCGTTAGAGCATCAGGTCACCCGGCTATCTATGCGTCGCTGAGAAGCTTCGACATCCCGTGCAGAGAAGTCTTCGTGTCCTCTCTTCTCTCATCTCGTTTAATTCTTCTGTGTCGTGAATTTCAACAATCGTAAGTACAATTTGCAAAAATGACCAAGAAATAGAGAAGAAGAAAAAACGGAGAGATAGATAAAAAACGAGACCGTGTCAGCCGTGTAACAGGAGAGATGCAAGCAACGCCAAGGCCCAGAAATCGATCCTCGCGTTCGGGAGAAGAATGGGTATCGGGATCGCGGTTTAGATGCCGGTGCCGCGGATAGCGTCGACTTGCTCGGAGAGCAGGGCGTTGTTCTTGGGTCCAGCGAGGGGTGGGCCTTCGGGGGTAACGTAGGCTTTGGTCATGCCGCCGTCGACGACAAAGTCCTGCCCATGTCAGTATCCCAAGACTTCGAATCGTGAACTCGAAATATGCATGTAGGTAGGAACTTACCTGACCGTTGATGAAGCTCGACTCGTCGCTCGCCAGGAACAGAACGGCATTCGCCTGCTCGATAGCCTCACCAAAGCGACCGCTCGGGAAATGAATCTCGCGTCGCTGCCTCTTAGGCTTATCATCGCCCAACCAGTCCTGCAGCAACGGTGTGTTAAGCGGAGCGGGGCACAGAGCATTGAATCTCAAGCCCTCTCTCGCATGCACAATAGCCAGCTCTCTCGTCAGCGCCAACACAGCACCCTTAGACGCAGTGTATGCAAGTTGAGGAGTGGCCGATCCAACCAAGGCAACCACGGAGGCGGTGTTGATAATAGAGCCCTTGGTCTTCTTGAACTTGCGCATGGAAATTACGGCGTGCTTGCAGCCGAACCACACGCCCTTGACGTTGATGGCTTGCGTCAGATCCCAGATCTTCTCAGAAGTGTCGATGGCGTCGGCGTCGTCAGCGTGCATGATGCCTGCGTTGTTGAACATGACATCTACGCCACCCCAAGCGTCGACGGTCTCAACGAGGGCTTGGACGTCGGCTTCCTTGGAGACGTCGCAGACCTGGGGGTGTTAGCTGGGCCTTGGGTTAGGTGATAAGAAGGAGGGAAGACCTTGATCTCGACTTTGAGGGCGGATGGGACGAGTTGTTTCAGCTTGGTGGAGGCTTTATCGAGGGCTGCGGAGGAGATGTCGGCCATGAGGACGTTGGCGCCTTCTTTGGCGAAGAGAATACATGTCTCGAGACCGATACCTCTGGGGGAGTATAAGCAGGTGTTCTTCTTGGAAATGATTGGAAATGTTATCAAGGCTTAGAAGATGTGTTAAGGGTAGCTATATCGAATTCTGCAGAGCCTCATGGACTCGTCTCTTTTGACTATCAATGACTATCAAAGACAACAGGGCGGGAGGGAGAGGCCTATCACGTGGATCTGGCCCCAGGTGACTCAAGCCCACAATATGCAGACTGGGGACTCGTTGCAAAGGCAAAGAAGCAACGAATGGTCCAAACCGTGGACAGGATGGAGACAGAACTCACCCGGCAGCTCCGGTGACAATGGCGTTCTTGCCAGTCAGTCTTCCCATGCCAACACTGTTGATAGTGTGGACCTTGCCCTCGCTGCTGCCTCTGGAGTCTGCCATCTTAAAGGCTTGGTAGGTGTATTCTTTGAAGTCAAAGCGTGTGTGTTCGTGGTCTGAGAGACAGAATCAGCGACTTGATAATAGCAAATGGTGATAACTTCACTCGGAAGGACAGAAGAACAGATGGATGGATAAATTATATTGTAGATCTCGCTTATTATCATGAATGGTCGGGAGGAGTGGACAACTAGTTGTAGCTAGCAAGCTAGCAACTCACTTACAGATAGATAGACGAGTGCGATAAGGGCAGGTATGGCGATACCTTTAGACAAGATGAGAAGAAGAGGGCTTGGTGGTAGGTAGGTACCGTAGTTGGTTGTATCTGTTTGAGGTGAGGTCGTGAAGTCTTGAAGTCTTAACGAGGATCGAGTCACACAAAGTGGAATTGACGTGTGATAATGTCATGTCATGGAAGGTCCGTTCTCGGCCGGGGAGTTCCCCTTATCTTTTGTTTTGACCGCTTATCCATGTGTACTCCGTAAGAAGTAGATAGAAGTACGCGCAACTACCGCTACTTGGTACTTTTCTTTACGGTCATTGGTTCATTGATATTCCATCACTCACGCTGGACTGCCTGACTGTCGGTCATATGGCAAACCATTATTATTACCATATCAGATTTACTCTATGTACTTATATTTACATGTATGTACGTGTTTGCTCAGCTGGAGGGTGGTTGAGCGTGCCTCGGGTTGCACTAGGATGCACTCGACCGTCGTGCCAGTCCCAGTCCCAAGAGCTGGGAATACGGTACAGTTACCTCGGTACCAGACCGTCCGTGGCTCCTCACCGCCTTGCCAACTACGTAAAGCTTTCAAGACTTCCCCTCGCAAAAAACGTGCTTAGTCTTGGTATTAGTAATCAGCTTAATCGGCAGAATTTTCTTGGAGGCGAGCCTGATCCTTGAGACAGATAGGAACACATACATACATCCAGTATGTATAGACATCTCTCATACTCCCTCTTTTCTTTTTTCTCTCCTCTCTATGCCGTGCTCTGATGATATTTATACAAATATACAAATCCGCGCTCCTCAACCTCAATGATGTCGATTCGTGTAGCCATCTGTCACCCCTCGGGCTGGCCTGGACTGGGCCGCCTGACCAGGGGGTAGCTTCCTTGTGTCCTTGCGTGCTTTTCTTATCGTGAGATCCATCCGGATTACGTTCTTGTTACACTCATCTTCTCACGTTCTTCTTCTTTTATTTTGGTGTTATTTACAGTACAGATCTCTCCTCGGATTGAGAGGCTCTTCGGTACTGTCAGTGCAACCGACAAGCCTCAAGAACAAGAATTGGCAAATTAGCGAATTAGCGACCCCTCCCTGATTCAGCTTCGAGCTCAGCCAACACCCCCCACCTTCATTCACCACAATGTCGGAACAAGAAGTTACCCTGGATTCGCTGCCAAAGCTTCTAGAGAATGACACCAAGGTCAAGCTGGCGGGTGTGGATGTCGATGGCATTTTGCGTGGCAAGCTGATCTCGAAGAAGAAGTTCCTGGGCATCGCAAAGGAGGGCTTCGGCTTCTGCTCGGTGGTCTTTGGGTGGGATATGCACGACCAGACATACTTCCGCGAATTGAAGGTCAGCAATGCCGAGAACGGCTACCATGATCTTATTGCCATCCCAGACTTGAGTAGCTTCAGGCGGATACCGTGGGAGGACAATGTGCCGTTCTTCCTGATCTACTTCAAGGACCCGGATTCGGGGGAGCCTGTCAGTGCTTGCCCTCGAGGTCTGCTGAAAAGCACCGTGGATAAACTGCACGCAAGTGGTTATGGTGCTATGGCCGGAGGTGTGTTTGATACTCAGGGCAATTGCATTGCTTGCTGACCATGTTCTAGCTGAATACGAATTTTTTCAATTCAAAACCCCCTCTGCAGATAGCAGCGGCGGCCCTCTCGCCGAACGAAACACTTCCTCCACTGCGACTTTCCTCAAGAACAACCCCGTTGATGCTCTGCCTTCTCTGACCGAAGGCATGTTCGGATACAGTCTGACTCGACCAGTACAAAACAAGGATTACTATTATGGGATCTTTGATGCGTGCGAGAAGTTCAATTGTGGAATAGAAGGGTGGCATACGGAGAGTGGACCTGGAGTCTTCGAGGCTGCCTTGGCATTTGGAGAGATCCAAGAAATGGCAGACAAGGCTGCATTATTCAAGTCAGTCACCCCCCAGGCTCGGAAAGGCAATGGCTAATAGACCCAGGTATGTGGTCAAGTCGATAGCGACAGGTTACGGCATTACACCCTGCTTCATGGCAAAACCTAGACAAGGTCTCCCAGGGAACAGCGGACACATGCACATCTCCATCGTGGACAAGCAGGGCAAGAACCTATTCTGCCGCGACAAGAAAGACACGAATGCAGAATGGACAGACACCGAGAACCTATCTGACATGGGCCGGCATTTCCTCGCAGGTTTACTAGAAGGTCTCCCAGACATCATGCCTCTTCTCGCACCTACTGTAAACTCGTACAAGCGCCTCGTGGAGAACTTCTGGGCGCCTGTCACCGTGTCCTGGGGATTAGAGCACCGTGCAGCCTCTATCCGACTCATCGCGCCACCAACTGCCAAGTCTGGCGCGACGCGATTTGAAGTCAGAGTCCCAGGCGCGGACACAAACCCTTTCTACGTTTTGGCTGCTATCCTAGCTCTGGGCTGGCGAGGCGTGGAGAAGAAACTTGAGATTAAGCAGGCGCCGCTTGGCAAGGGGCAAGATGTTGGCGGCAAGGCAGATCCCGGTGTGCGACTGGCGAAGAGTCTGAAGGAGGCCACGGAGCGGTTCATGAGGCCGGAGAGCGTAGCGAGAGAAGTATTCGGAGATGAGTTCGTGGAGCATTATGGGGGGACGAGAGAGCACGAGATTCGGCTGTGGGATGAAGCCGTAACAGATTGGTACGACCGACACCTTCTACACAGCCCCTCATGTGGAACATATCTCGGTTGTACAGGAAGATGCTAATTTTGTGAATAGGGAGGTGCGAAGGTATATTGAGACGGTGTAGGTGATCGCGAGTTGGTGTGTAGCTGCTTTGTCACCATTTCTACAGTATTTTCTGAGCTCTGTAAGATTACATCAAAGTCAGACGTTGCGTTAATCTCGAACACCCTCACGCAATCTCCAAGTCACTTTCTCAGGTAATTTCACGTTCCGCGCTCTTCAAGCGAAGCTCAATAAATGAAATCTCGTGAAAGCCAGACAAGATCCAATCCTCCTCTATGATTCCCCCATCATCTCTAGACCTAGCTACTCCTCCACAGGTCACCGTATCTCCAGGGCAGAGGGCCATTCTGATTGAGTTGAATGGACGACAGATGCACCCGACAGCATCCTATTTGGACTTCTCACCCTTGGGACATCAAGGACAGGAGACTCCCGGATCACACTAATTCATAGGTCAAAAAACATACCTATGCATAGACAGAGAGAGAGGGGGGGCGGAGAGAGAAAAAGCGTCAGTCAAAAGGCGATTCCGCCCACCCACCCACATCTGCTCCGGGACCACCGTTTCCGATCCCGCTATGTTCTGGGTTCTGGGTTCTCCCAGTCTCAGTCGGTACTCTAAATGGCTACAGAGGTATGTAGGTGTAGCCCGCTCTGGCAGAAGAGGAGTTCTTCATCTGCCAGACTCTGATTCCTTTTGACTGAGCAGAGCTTTCGACTTTCTGTTTTCCTTGCTTATTTCTACTTTGATCTATCTGCTTCTCTATCATCGTGTCTCCCAGCGCTCAGATCACTCGGAACGCTTCGAACCGGCAATGTATACGTATGCTATCTTCTCGTTGGGTTATATATCAGCGCGCATACCACCTCGTGAACGCAACCACTCTACGAGTTCTTCATCATCCTCCTCAGCCCTTGAATCTTCTCCCACAAGCCGACCCCATACCCAATCTCCACCACTGCCCTCGTGAATTCGTACCCCTTCTTCGTGTCTGGAATCGGGTAATGAATCTGGCTTGGAATAGCCGTCTTGATACCGGCCCAGAAGAACCGATCTTCGCAGATGGATTTAATATTGCACAATCCTCTTAAGCCTTCCTCGCCTGCAAATCGGCCGTATCCGCTACCGCGTTGGCCTCCGAAAGGAAGCTGCACAGCGTAGAAGACTGCAAAATCATTGACTGCTACCATACCCGTCTTAAGGCTCTTGATACAGGCGTCAATGGTGGAGCCTGGCTGACCGAAAACAGAGGCTCCAAGACCAAAGTCAGGAGTGTTAGCAATACGGCAAGCTTCTTCGGCATTTTTGGCCTTCATCAACACGCAAATAGGTCCGAAGCATTCCTCCTTCGCGATGGCCATTTCAGCGGTAACGTCCACGAGGAGAGTAGGCTGGAAGTAGTGGCCTGAATGGTGCACTGGGTGGTTGAATCTGTGGCCGCCTGCGAGTAAGCGAGCGCCATCCTTAACGGCGGCTGCAATCAGATTTTCAAGTCTGTCGAAAGAGGCGTCTGAGATCATGGCTCCGACGTCTACTTGAGAGTCTTTTGGTGCATCTAGAGCTGACCCTACTCGAAGAGCTCTTATTCTTGGTTCAAGCTTCGTCACGAGTTGATCGTAGACCAGGGGACAAGCGATGATGCGTTCGATACCAATGCAGTTTTGGCCAGCGGCCTGGAAAGTGCCCCGTAGAAGAATCTCAACAATGCGAGGAACGTCTTTCTCGGCTGAGTCCAAAATGATAGCGGCATCCTTTCCACCCAGCTCCGCAACCACAGGGGTAAGAGACTTGGCAGCAGAGGCTGCAACCAACTTTGCAACAGGTCGGCTGCCGATGAATGTAACATGAGATATGGATGGGTGAGATGTCAAGTAGTTCGCAGTCTGAGGCCAAGTGGTAACAACCTGGACCAGATTAGAATTGTGACCGCACGCATGAAGAGCACCTTTCACAATGAGCGAAAAGTAGGCGCTACTCCACGCCGTATTTTCTGATGCCTTAACAATAATTCCGTTTCCAGAAAAAATAGCAGAGATCATGGGTCCAATCAAGTTGTGGAAAGGGTAGTTCCAAGAAACAAGTGCAGATACCACGCCGAGAGGCTCGTACACAACCGTGTTCTTCTTGTACATCATGAGGAGATTTGTCGGTCTGCGTGAGGGCTTCAAAGCCTTCTCCCCATGTCTCAGAGTCCAGCGGAGCTTCTCAACCGTAACAAGAATCTCTCCCAGTGTAGCATCGATCATAGTCTTGCCCGAGTCCAGACAAGCAACCCGGCAGATATCCTCCTGGTTATCCAGTATGAATCTGAGTAAGCACCGTAGGACCTGTCTTCTTTGTGGGAATGTTGTATTCTTCCATTTCTCTTGCGCCGACTGAGCCTTCTCGATTGCGCGGTCGATTCCCTCGGGTGTGGCAGGATTTACGAGGCCCAAGAACTCGCCAGTAGCCGGTGCATAGCATTGGATAGCAGTTGAGCCATGAGCCTGCTCATTGTTAGTCTGCGTGCCGTAGTACTGCTCTGGAGTTCCCGCGCCTTGATGGAGGGCTTCTCCATGACCGTGCCATTACCCGGAGGATTGGGCACGTCAACCGCGTACTTTATGATCTCCTCTCCTTCTCCAGAGAACCAAGTAAAGAGCCTGAGCCCATAGTACAGATATATTGCCGCGAAAAATAATGCTCCACCAACGCAATACACCAAGTTCCACCATCTGTAAAACGTCAGAGCCTGAGCTTTTGCAAGAAATTGTAGAATTTCTCTTACACTTCATCATCTGTCGTACTATGTATAATGAATCCCTGCTTTTTCGCAGGACTTTGGTGCTCCATTGCGCCGATGAGGGTTCTGGACTGCCCTCAGCCTCGTGTAATAGGGGGCAGCTCGAAGATCAAAGTGAGCGGGTCCAGAAACTACTTTGGGCTCGAGAGGCAGTTATAATTGCATCGCGAGTAAGGCCATTGGACAAGGTAAGAGCCAACGAGAGTGTACCCAGGAGGTAACGGAAGTGAGGCGTCAATGGGTAGATCAAGCTTCTTGCTCAAGTCCCTACCCATCGACAATTTTAAAAGGATCCCCGCTAGCGCGCTGTCACTGCCTGTCAGTTGAGCTTAGCCGGGATAAGGTATGTCATCGGCCAAAGATTCTTCCGTAATGCCTCGAACAAAATGGATCACGATTTCACATACCGGTACCTCAACCTCTTAAACTAAATGCTACTTTGTGCCGGCTAATGATTTTCAGAGCCGGGCCGCAGAAATCGTAGACGGAAGGCAAAGAAGCTACTTCGAAAAGTCGATTTGTTGCAAGATCGCGAAAGGGCATAGATATGAGAAAACAGCGGACTAAACGCAAGACCAATTGATTACTCCTAGGTATGGTTTGCGGTACGCAAGACACTTCTTTTTGTTCCGGCTATTAGAGCCAATTCTACCACAAGAAAAACAAAGTGTACGGTGTCACTAGCTTTATTAATATGTTTTTAATCCCTTTCCGCTTTTGCAGGAGTTATTTATTGCTTTGATCTGAAGTCGCTTGAATAGCGCTATATAAATCGTATCCGTTTAATCTGGTAGCGACGAGAGCTTCGTTGAAAACAGATCTTTTACATTCTTACATGGCTCAGACGGCAGTCTTGATTTAGTCATTCAAATATGTGAGAGGTAGTGCTTTTCATCTATATGATAAGTTGTCATCCGAGATAAGAAGGACTTCATCGGCCTTGTCCACCTCTAAGAAAACCATCATGCCAGAAACAAGGCCGTTAAGTTGCAAGTACATTAGATTCATAAGCATATCAGACATTCCAGAATCGGGATGGCGACCTTAGGTAATCAATCAGCTCTTCAAGAGTCAACCAACATGTAATATACACCATCTTTCAACCGATTCCCAAGGTCTAGCGCTGAATCCTCAGCAAAAGACTGCCTCCCTGCCTCAAGCCTAAGCGTTCAAAAATAACGACATAGTTGGATTCTGCTCGTCTGGTTCTTACTAGCCATTCTGACTTCCATTCTCCTTCCCTTTCAACACCCTGATATATATCAGCGCAGATGGGGCGCAGCAGAGGGTAATGGTGATAGCAATGCCCGATGTAAATGTGTAGGGTGTATAGATACTAAGCAAAATAAAACGCGACCTATGTTGTGTGCCTGCTAAGACAAAAATTCCTCATACAATTCTCTATAGAGTATTTGTTACTCGAGGGAAAATACCTTCCCATATTGCCCAGCGAATGCTTGCTTCCAGACCACCTTACACTACAATGATACTTCCCGACCCAGACGAAGGAGTATCATCAGTGAAGAGCATTTTGCATCACTGCAAAGGATTGCCCACAGCCTTTGTCTCTATCTACACTTACGCTCTAACAGACGAATAGTTGAACAATCTGTCTTCGCCAGATTGATTTTGAAAGGCTTGAAAAGCTCCCTTAAAAGTACTCTATGATGTAATGAATAGACGGAAGGACAGAAGCAAGTTGTGAGGGTCCACAGATATAACTAGTTGCTACTCTGGATCGCCATGATCCTAGAGTTATTAATGACTTGCATGCAATCTGTATACAAGTTCCGATAAGTTTGACAACACCCAAGCATCGTTCCTAGTATTTGAGCGTATTGTAGAGAAATGTATCACTAAGCATTCAGGCTCAATCGTGCATTCTCATGCGTTTGCTCTTTGTTCAGAGAACTATTTACACTAGTACAGACATAGGGAAGGATTCGAAGGGGCCGTCTACAAGACGGAAAGGTCGCCAAATTTCTCCTGCAATGAAATCAGCCATCCGTCCAACAAGGACATGAATTCATTGCAAATACATACCTTGTAGCCTGGCACAGACCAGCGTCCCTTGGAAACGAGTTGAGAAGTCTTCTCATCAATATCAGGTCGAGCAGCAGCAACCTCGTCCTAAAAGCATAACCGTCATCAGCCCGTCCCACAAATTATCTACCGCAGCAATACGTACCACAGTGAGCTCATCAAACGGTCTCGCAGTCTGGATATTCTTCAGCGTTGCCTCCAGATCCTTCAACTCCATATCCACCCGGCCTTTGGTCTCCTCAGCATTCTTCACGGCCTGTGCCTCGAACGCCTCGATGGCCTTGATCTGCCTGCCTACGTCGTAGGTCGCAGGCTTAAACGTGCTGAAGTGCTTCTCGATCTCGTCGATCACAGCCTGGTTCTTGAGGACGCCGCGGTAGTGGGCAAAGTCAACCTTGGATGGCTGCTCGGAGAGAATTTGCACGCGGCGGCGGGCATCGTCGTTGCGCTTCTTGAAGGCCTGGAGGGAGGCGGCTGTTTGGCCTCGGAGTCCGAGTGATTGGGTAACCTTAGCCCAGTCGAGCTTGAGTGCTGCACTTCGCTGGAAGGAGAGATACGTTAGCTGAGATGCTGTGGAGGAGGTGCGGACTCCAGGACGCCTCGGAAAGGTTTCTGCATCGCGGCACTGCTCAGAGGCGTGATAGAGCTCCGCAGAGGAAATTGGGATTCGATTGAGCGACTCAACTTACTCCGGCTGCCATTGTGATGTGGGTGTGAGAATTGTAGAGAGGGGAGGAGTGGTGGGTGCATTGAATCCTAAAATCGACAGCTTCGGCGACAAGAGCTTAGCCACATCACGTGATATGCTACATTCCGAACATGGTTTTTTTATAGATATTTTATTCTGTAGAATGGTTGAAGCATCACTCGAAGGCCAGACGGTTGCATGCAAGTCACAGCAGAGTCGGAGTTATATGTACGGCAAGAAAGAAGTCTGAGAGTGTGGCATTGAAGTCTGCAAATGCTTTTCAAATTACAGATCGTTGGAAAGATGCATCGTATGCAATCACCACCAACCCTCCTTCACCCACCAAGTGAAGCTCCAGGAAGACGGACATGACAGCGTATACTATCTATATGCTGAGAGCCATGATAGAGTTGACAATGTCATTATCGTTCTCCTTTAATGCCTTGACGGCCTTGTTGCGCGAGACATTGGCTTGGGTCATGACCAACTCAATGTCCTTGTCCTCGAGACCAGACGCATCAACCTCTTCTCCGTCGTCCTCTTCGTCGTCCTTCTTGTCATCAGCCTCGATAGCCTTGCCCTTGCCGTGGTCGTGTCCGGAGTGGTCGTGACCGGCATGGTCGTGGCCAGCGTGGTCGTGGGACTCTTGGGCAGCGAGCTGTTGAGCAGCGGAAGCTTGAGCTTGGGAGTTGAGATCCTCGATCTTGGCCTCACCAAAGACACTAACAGTACATCAGTAGGCTACGTGTTGCGGGCAGGCTGAAGAGCTTACATGTAGGTGTTGCTGTTTGGTGACTTGTAGACCTCGGGCTGGTTGATGACGAACAGAATCTGCAAGTGGAATTGAAATTAGTATTAGGGTTTCTGATAGATCTCAAATTATTCAAAATGTGCGCCAATCCCAGAGTCGTCTCTGCGGGCGCCCGTCGTGCTTCCATGACATTGCAATAGCCCGGTGGACTCAATTGGAGCTTGCTGTTAGACTTGGAGTACTCACGTTCTTTGGACGTCTCAGGGTGACACGGGTGATGCCAGGAACTCTAGTAAGACCGAGCTTCAAGATCGACTTGCGCGCCTTCTTCTCGTTGCGGGAGTGGACGATTTGACCCTCGGCGGGGATTCCAGACTCAGCAGCCTCTCCCTCGGAATCGGAGTCAGAAGATGCATCATCCTCCGCGGTGACGTTCTTGGTGACTGGCTCGTCATCTGGGAGCTCTTCGATACGTGGGTTCGACATATTGGGTGAGGTATGTCTGTTGTCGAGTGTCTGTTGTCGAGATGAAGGTGTTAGCAGCTGCGTTGTGGTGGAGAGATGTTATTGACGTTTTTCGAATGTTCTCGTGTGCGCTTTCCCTCGCAGGTTCTGAAGCGGATTCGGAGAACGTCGGTGAATCTTGAGCACGCCTTGAGACAATGGGTAGAACTGAATAGACTTGCCTGGTAATTTGAAAGGTGAGTTGGAGGTACAATGTACTGGCCTGTCGACTGTTTGGGAAAAACTTTTAGGGCTGTGAGTTCGGTTATATTTTAGGCCACCGGAATGGTTGGATCTACGTGTTGATGGCAAGGCTACATGATCACTTTCATGGGAGATTGATTTGCATTAGAATACATAGAGAATTTTATTTCGAATTTTACGTGAAATTGGGTGATTTTTTTATTGTCATTTCACATTCTGGCTAATCTTGATGGTGGACTACTTCCCAGCCCCAAGTTGCATTCAGTGGCATCACCACGTCGTAACCCAAGTAGTTGCATTTCCATGAAAGCACTTGATTGTCTTTGTGAAGTCCCTATGCTCTGACGCCTGTCAAATTTGACGCTAGGATACAAAGCTTCCATAGAAGCAAAAGAATCCAGCAACCCAATCCACTCATGATCGCAGCCCCGACCCCCAAAGAAACCCTCTAAGCCGCAGCCTTAAGCTTCGCCAAAGACTTTCGGACCTCGAAGCGTTGTTGCTTTCTCAATCGCATAACCTTGAATCGCTCGAAATCCGTGAGTGCCTTTCTTCGCTCCTTCTGGCTGCGCTTCTTGGCCCACGCGCTCTCTTGCCACTTTGCCTCTATACCCTCCTTCTCCCAGTGTGCCTTGACCACACCAGTGCGCGAAGCACGGGGCAGATTCTCGAGAATAAGAGGGGTCAGGACGACGTTCGAGAGGGCGATAGATTGACGGGGGACAGCGCTCTTGGTGTCTGTAGATGGGCCATCGATGAGAGCCTGCATTTCAATCAGTCATTACACTCCTGGATTCCAAAATTTCTGCTTTTCCACATACGCGCTTGTGATCGATGATCTCAACAATCGCAGCCAGCTTGCCCTCAGAAGGTCCTTGGGCGATGAGGACGACACGGCCGACCTCGACCAGTCTCCATGACGATGCCTTGATCTCTGCGTCACCCATTTTTCGTTATGCTGGGGAATATTAGTTAGTTGGTCGTCTGGAGGTTGCGAGAATGTTGTAGGCACGTACTGGACGATGTTGTCGTGAGGTTTGTCGATTTGCTTTGCTGTGGTGGTTGTCGCGATCTGAAATCACCTTGTGTGGGCTACAGCCTCGCTAAAATTTCCACCCTAACTAGCGCCATCTAGCGCGGAAGATTAATCGGAGCTTGAAAAAGGCGAGAATCTTCTTTTCCACACCATGTTTTCATCATCAGGATCTTCTCGCACTTTCTTCCCACAATTCGTGGCTCTCGCAATCATGGTACATATTCTACCCGCGAGATTGCAAACTTCGATTGTAAGTTCGCCCGCCGTCTCTGCATTATCTTTTTATCCCCTACATGATGATATAATTTGCGATCGACCTCGTTTGGTGGCTCCCTCGCCGGGGATGCTATATCACTCGATAGGATGAGATTCATTCTTACATATACTGAACACCTTCCTCCACGCTCCAGCTCTTTTTGTCCTTACGCAAAGACATCTAGCTAACGTGTCGAAGGACTTATAGGGCTTGGGCCGCATCTGTCAGGGCGCGACGGAATACATTTAAGGATACAAGAGGGGAGGAAAGGACACCTGGCATACGGTAGGCTCTCTCTCTTCTCTATTATTGGCAGCCCATCTGCCAGTCTCCTACCCGAGCAATGAATGAAAAAAAAACGCACTGAAAATAGTGAACTCTTCGGAGTATTGAACACAATCTAACCAAGATCTCTGAGCTCCCACATTATAAGTCTCAAGTATTCTGCAGAAACTTCAAGGACGTTGACTGACTTGTGGAATACAGGAAGCTATTACTTGATGCACAAAATTGCGGTGCACATTTGACTGCGTCGGTGCTCTTTCGATTGACGCCCGTTCCAAGTGGAGGTACACAAAATACCACAAGGGCCGGGAGATATGTGAGCAGAGGTTGTCATAGCATAGCATCCCATCTAGAATTAAGAGTTCAATTGAGTCCATGTCGGTCATGATTCTCTTGGTTCTGCACGCTTCTTGTGATGCTTTACGTGTAGTCATTTCTCTAACTCAGGGATGGAAGAGTGGTTGCGCAGAGCCCATCTCAGACAAGTCTCTAACGTGGATGGCATTCTGCTTTTGGACAGACATCTGCATCATTCAAAATATTTACCATTCAAATTCCTTACGCCCCAAACTCACCGTCCGCAACTCCTACATAAACTTGTCGTCCTCCTACTCAATCAGCTCCGGCCCCTCAACCCCATCCTCCCTCTCCAAGCTTCCCTTCAAATGCCCAAACAACACCTTCGCCACCACAGGCGGCACTGCATTCCCTATCTGCTTCTTCACATAAGTTCCCCTGAAGCAATGCTTCGGCGGGAACCCCTGCAGACTCGCATACTCCCTCAGCGTCAAGTCCCTCTTCCCCGACGGATGGTAGTTCTGCCCTCCCGAGGTGGTCATGGCGCGAGGCAGGATCTTGGTGCCGTCCCACGGCGTCTGGTAGCGCTCCGGGTCCCAGATGACAGACCTGATGTCGTGATCCGACGCGTTGTACGGGATGGACGCCAGGGTGATGTTGGCGGAGACGAAGGGAGGGAGGTTGAGGGGTGGGATGGGCCCGGTTGCGGAGTGTGTTGGCGGTGGCATTAGGGGGAGGGGTTCGCCTGGGCTGTGATAGATTGTGCGTCAGTCAGTTCTTTTTTCCTGTCTTCTAACTGTCGGAACGCCTTACCACGAAGCAATGATGATCAGCCTCTGGCGTCTTTGCGGTAATCCCTGATATCAGGTCAGGTTTTGGGCGGAAGGCAGAGAGAGTAGAAAGAGGGATGAGGACTTACCCACTGCGCCAGTGGCACGATCGCCCACCGAACCGAGAAGTCATGCGTGGTAAACATCTGGATCAACGCATTGAAATAGAATCGAAACCTCGAACACGCAATCCCGAACGTCTGCTCCAGCGTCACGATCCTCGCCCTGGCCACCTCAATGACCTCCTGCACCGCAAAAAGACTCGCCGTGTTCATCTCGTCATCCGTGCCTTCAATTGTATGGGCTGGCGAGAAGAACTGGCATGGTGGCGAGAGGTGCAGGATGTCGACTTTCATGGCGTCCGGGTTGGAGTCCGTCTTTGAGAGGTCGACGAATTCGTGGGCTGGCAGCTCGTGGCAGTGCGCGAAGGGGAAGTTGGTACGCCAGGTCAGGCAGGCGTGTTTATTGAAGTCGAAGCCCCATCTCAGCCGCAGGCCGGCCATGGTTGCGCCTCGTGAGGAGCCGCCGCCGCCACAGAAGGCGTCGCCGTAGGTGTAGGTCTGGCCGGCCGTTCTGTTCACGGGTGGTTTAGGTTCTGGAGGTGGGCGAGGAGTGTCGGGTTCAGGAGGTGTGGGATCTGATGAGACGAGGTCGATCATCTTGGGAAGCTCTATTGACAAATCGATCGTTTCTGGGGCAAGTGGTTGGTCGTCAGCTAGCTCTGGTTGGGCTTCTAGGTCTATCGGCATCTCTGGCTCTGTTGTTTGAAGGCTCATCCTGGCTACGCCTTCCCGTGTTTCCTCCACTTCATCTAGGTCTTGACATCGGATACGCTTGAGAGCCGATCCAGAAGTCGGAACATCTGCAGGCTCAAGGTCGACAGCACTGTGGTTTCGCTTTTCTCTGCTGCCCTGAACGCCCTCTGGGCCCTCTGGGACAAGCTCGCTAGTTTGTTGGTCGTGTTCATCGATATCAATGGACTGATTCGGTATGCATAACACTGCTTCCGGCTCCTGCATACCAGCAACATCGATTGGGACCTCGCTCGGACTGTCTGGTACCTCAATGACTTCTTCGGGATCGATCCCAGGTCGGTAGGAGCCTCCAATTATAGTCTCACCACGCCACAGCGTCCGGGCGTCTTCGTCCGAGATCTCAAAACCAGGAGTACATTCATCGACCTTCAATCGCTCAAGTGACCGCTCCTTGAAGACATTGTGGTCTCTATCTCCGGCAGATTCGTAGGTACAAGTGTACGTCCATCGCACAGTCAAGCCTCCATCCTCAGCTGCGTGCTCCTTGTCCCGGAATTCCGTCAAGACAACGTTTCTCGCGAGTGGAAACTTCTGATTCGTGAAGCGGACGCTTCGAACTCTGGCAACCTCTTCTAGTGACACTTCAACAGTGCTCTGCTCAAGTGGCGCCCGAGGATCATCGAGATCGACTTCAAGGAATACAACAAGCTCGTTTAGCTTCTTCTGAAGAAGCCCATTTAAATCTCTCGCTCGTTGAAGTCGATGTCCTCGAATCCTGATCTCCTCAGTTTCGGAGTTGCGCAGGATGTCCTTGATGCGAATGAAGCTCTCGTCCTTCAGCTGAACTGTTTTGTTGGCTTTCAGAGTGATAGATTCCAGGCATATTGTGCTTTCAATTCGCTGCCATGCGCCGACGATGGTGGGATTGCGCCGCTCGTAATGTACTACCTTCTCGACCTTTCTCCTGACTCGCCGCCGTTTTTCTTCCTCTTCGTAGGCATCTTCAACGCGCAACATCTCGACGACATCTTCTTCGAGGTCAATAATTTCGCCTGGCTTGAAATGTGTTGGTGCTTGCTCTGGACCTGGTTCTTGAGAAAGTAGTCTGTCGCCCACTGGTACTAGTCCGAGCGGGTCTGCATCGTCCAGAATGGCGAAGTTACTGCTGCTGGGTATCCCTGGCCTTGCAACAGGTGCGCTGGAGAGACTGACGGCTCTACTGCGCCATTCGAAGGCTCTCGATATCCTACGAGGGGTGACTTCCGAAACAGCCTCTTCATCATCGAGAGGTATTGGCTCTTGAGCAGTCCCGCTAAAAAGTCCTGGACCTGATCTGGGAGACGGGCATCCTACAAATGATCGAGGATCACCAAGAGACTCTGATCTGTGTTGGAAACATGAACCTAGAGAACTTCGGCTTGCACTCAGAGACTTGGATACATTGAAACCCCAGTTCGGCCTGCGGAATGTCGAGTTGATGCGAGACCTTGTGGTTCCGGGACTGCAGGAACCTCCCAGTTGAGTTCCCTGGGACGTACTTCGCGGATGGGAAATGACAGAGGCAATTGATGGTGTAGAAGGTATATAGGGTCGGATTCCGATGAACCTATCCTCTGGCGATAGCCCTGTTGGAGGGGGCACTGTGTGTGTAAGTCAGGAATGATATACAGGCAACTCGCTAATGACAAAATCTGTAGCACCGTTTTCTTCCCCATGGGTCGAGATTGTTGTGATAGTGGGGGGGGAGGGGGGAGGGTTGGTCGACTTACTAAAGTCTATAATCTCAATGTCTCCTTCGTCATCTTCATCGTCGTCGTCGTCGTCAATGATGATGATCTCCTCTTCATCGTCAAGGACCACAACTTCCTGGTCCGTGAATGGAGCCATTGGTAGGAGGATTTGAATGTGTTCGGTCCAGGCTCGGATATCTCCGTTGTTGCTGGCTGGAAGATCTGCGCCTTCTGTTATTGACCTAGACCAGCGTCGAATTAGAGGAGAGAAAGGATAATGTCGGGATGGCAGCACATACTTGGAGATCTTCAGGGCTTTTCCGCGTTAGATTTCTCCCCCCCTTGAAGATCTTCCTAACAGGTGGAGTTGCCAAATCGACAGGGAGATGCAAAACTTCTCAGAGTCCCAAACTCTGGAGGGATGATCGGGGTTATATCTCATGCAGGCTTTGTTGATCGAGCCCCATTTCGCTCAACACCAGACCAAGAGATGCATGGGACAACATTTTGTTGCCAATGGTAGAATGCTATGGGATTAGGGAGGGGAATCGCCTGCGGAGTCTTGATGCAAGAGCTAAGAGTATACCCCTTGAGATCAAACATCTGACATGTCTTTTGTGCAGATTTAGGGTGTCTGCAGTAAACTTTGCATCGTTGAAAAGGGGTGGGACCATATGGTTTATTGTCGGTCTTTGTATGTTGACTACTACAGATGAGAAAGGCGATGTTGGATCGGAAAATCGTTGCAACTTTTCTTTTTGCACTTTGCTCTGGAGAGGTGGGAGATAGGACAGGAAACAGAATGAATGGTACGTTCGGTGTAGGATAAGACAACTAGCATAGGACCGCGTGCAAGCCAGATGCAAACATCCTTCTGGCTCCTCAAGCTCCAATCTCAAAACAATGCTGTAGACATCATATACGGAAGGGTTCTCTGCACTTCAGAAAACCAATGAACGATGATGCTCTCAACTCGTTGACATACATTTGGGAAGAGACTGAAAAGAGGGAGAGAGAGACCATGATACCGGAGATGCATACACTGCTCAGTGAAAACACTTACTCGTGCAGAGAATTCCATAGCGAAAGAGCGAGTCAAGCCGGCAAGATAGGATCTATACCTATCGTTAGCCAAGTCTAGCAAAGTGAATCCAAGATATTTATTTGAGTGCGTCATCTTTGGAGGTTGTTGGGTTCACGGCATAGAGCAGCACTCGGTTTCAGCGGTAGAGGCATAGGAAAACCGACTTCTCTACGAAGCACGGTGTCGGTAGTGTCAGAGGATGAGAGACATTTATTTGCAAGCTCAGCTAACTAACCTGCTTAGTCATCAGGAACCCCCCTCCCCATTGGGGCAAGATGGGCATGGGCTTGATTTTCTACGTAAAAAGCCACACCCCGCCACGACAGATGTGGATCCAGCCACCGGTCCGGTCGCAGCCGGTCACAGTATTAAAACTCGGATTCTCGACTTTCGTATAAATTACTTTCAATCTTCCAAAATGTGTGCGCCAACTTCAAGTCTCCTTCCTCTTTGCCCGCATCAATCAATTGATCTGCGATCTCCTGCCCAGTACCAGTACACCTAAGTGTGAGTACCGTACCCTTCCTCCTTCAATTTTTTCAATGATACGACAGATCCGGGTCATTATGATGAACACAAATTTTTAAGATGTAAGTTGTCCCATACTAGCCTTCCCTTAATTGGTCGTTATACTGACGGCGAGCTCTAGGTTAGACTTCTTATTCACTCTGAGGATAAAATTTGGAACTGAATACCCACCCCACTATCCAGCCCCTCCAGCGTTTGCTCTGAATATACAACCCCCCCCCCCACACGACAAAGCTGACCCGGATCCACAGCAAACCAGCGTTCTTCCCACATCTTCAAGATGTGTGGAATTCTCGCCCTTATCCTCGGTGACATCGAGAGCATATCTGCGACAACTGCTGCCGCGGACCTCCACGATGCGCTCTACTACCTCCAACACAGAGGCCAAGATGCTTGCGGCATAGCAACGTGTGCCTCTGGTGGTCGCATTTACCAGTGCAAGGGAAATGGCATGGCTGCGAAGGTTTTTCACGACGGGTCTCGAGTTCAGGATCTCCCGGGTTTCATGGGCTTAGGTCATTTGAGATATCCCACAGCTGGTAGCAGCGCCAGCGCCGAAGCACAACCGTTCTACGTGAACAGCCCTTACGGGATTACTTTCGCGCACAACGGAAATCTGATCAACGCTGAGCAACTCCGAGTTACTTTGGACAGAGAGGCACACCGTCATATCAATACCGACAGTGACAGCGAATTAATGCTCAATGTCTTCGCCAACGAGCTCAACGAGACCGGAAAGGCGCGCGTCAACCAAGAGGATATTTTCCAAAGCTTGAGGCGGATGTACGGAAAGTGTGTTGGTGGCTGGGCCTGTACAGCAATGGTTGCTGGGTTTGGAATCCTCGGGTTCCGTGATCCGTACGGAATTCGCCCGCTGGTATTGGGTTCTCGACCATCTGGAACGGTGGCTGGGACTACGGACTATATGATGGCTTCCGAGTCAATTGCTTTGCGCCAGCTCGGCTTCTCTGATGTCGTCGACATCCTCCCTGGACAGGCTGTTATTATCCGCAAGGGATCAAAACCCGAGTTTCGTCAGGTTGTCCCTCAGCTCAACTACTCCCCTGATATTTTCGAGTATGTTTACTTCGCTCGTCCTGACACGATCATCGATGGCATCAGCGTGCACCGAAGCAGACAAAACATGGGCCGCAAACTCGCAAAGACAATAACCGAAACAATTGGTGAGGCTGCAGTCAAAGAGATTGATGTGGTCATCCCTATCCCTGAGACGTCCAATACATCTGCGGCCAGTTTGGCCGAGCTTATGGGACTTCCTTACGTCCAAGGCTTCGTTAAGAACCGTTACGTCTTCAGAACATTCATTATGCCCGGTCAAGGTGCGCGCCAAAAGTCCGTCCGCCGCAAACTGAGTGCTATCCCTTCAGAGTTCAAAGACAAGACTGTTCTCCTTGTTGATGACAGTATCGTGCGCGGTACTACAAGTCGGGAAATCGTTAGCATGGCACGTGAAGCTGGCGCAAAAAAGGTCATCTTTGCTTCCAGCGCTCCGCCTATCACCCACGCCCACATTTATGGCATTGACCTTGCATCCCCTCAAGAGCTTGTCGCACACAACAGAGATAGACAAGCCGTCGCCTCTCATATTGGTGCTGAAGAGGTCATCTATCAATCGCTCTCAGATTTGAAAGCTGCTTGCGCTGAGGAATCTCCCCGCCCAAATCAAGAGTTCGAAGTCGGGGTTTTCTGTGGCAAATACGTTACCCCTGTCACTGAGGGCTACTTTGAGCATCTAGAGCTTCTTAGAGGAGAATCCAAAAAGATGAAGATCTTGGAGAGTGCGAAGGAGGCAGTCATAAAAGGCATTGCGAGTGAGAAGGAGTTGGACTTGATCAAGAAGAACGCTCAGGTAGATGAAAATGGTAACGTTGTGCCTGCAGCCCCTGGGTTAGTAAACGGTATGAAAGTCAACGGAACCGATTTCAATGGCCATGAGAGACGTAAGAGGGAAAGAGAGGGCGATGAAACTCCACCAGTCAGAGATCGTCATGATATCAGGTATGCCCAATTCTCTTAGTATTTGTATCTATGAGACAAACACTAATGCAACTGACAGTTTGCATAACTTCGCGACTGAGCCGCAAAGAGGCTATGAATAGATAGATACCCTTAGACACTTCTGAATTTGGCGTTTACTTGAACATTGGGCTCTATGTTGGCTGTCTGAAGTCAAATATGATTGTATAAAACCCAAATAAAAAAAGTCAACGATGCCATTCACCTGTCAATTCTTTTTATGACCTTCAAGCTGTCTCTTCTAGAGTCCAATCATTCAAAGCTCAGTTTCGGGTTTCCTCTTTGCTCCTTTTCTATTTGGCAGCCTCGAGTTGGTTCCTGCAGCCGGCATTATATATCCCCGTGCCGAAAAGCATGCCACATATGCGAGGCTAATAAAATCATCACAGCCTCGTCTGCGTCATCGACCAGCTTCATTTTTTTCTTGACCCTATTTTTTTTTCACCGTGTATCAACATCGAAACTCCTATATCACTTCTTCTTTTCAACTACTACGATCCTAGATCCTATTTGGTTCCTTCTAGGAACGAGTTCCCTTTGAATTTCCAATTCGGCGTCCTTTCTTACTCTTTCACCTCGTCGATTGAAACCCTGTAACGCGCCCAAAAGCGTTAAACCTAATCAATTCAATCAATATCACCTTTCAAAATTGAATGCGTAAGACGGCGAAGAGAGCGGAGAGGCAAGAGAATTGAATGTCGGCGGACAGCTAGCGCCTCAGATTGATTTCGGGAGTATTTATACTCCTAAGGAGGGCTGTTCCGTCTCGACTACCTTCCTTCTTCTATCAACATCCGCACTTCTTTATTGCGACATTCGATCTCTGCCGACACACCGGCACACTACCTACATACTTACATACATACATACTCCTTTTGTTACAGCAGCACCTTAATTGCTCTCCAATCCAAGAGTAGGCAAAGAAAGGGAAGGAGGCAAGATGGCGCCTCGCACGTCGAGATCTTCGCCACTTGTGGCAACAATAAAGGCAAAGTCAAAATCTCCCTCACCGCTGGAGACTGCGGAGTCGAAGTCGAGTTCTCTTTCTCCCAAAAGCGCAAAGTCGAAACCAGAACCAGCACCCCCTTCAATCACAGCCATCTTCAATGTCTCCAAGAGAAAAGCAGAGGACAAGCCTCATGGAATGGGCCTTGACCTCGGCCTTGCAGAGCCGGCAGCCAAGCGCACAAAGACCAAATCAACAAAGTCAGACAGTCAGCCTGCTCTGTTTATCCCACCTATTCTGCCAGAATTGCCTCTCTTGGAGATCAAAGTTGTGCCTATCCCAGAGCCAGTCGTGGTGAAGCATGGAGCCAAGGTCAAGCAACATCCTTACAAGCTGACTTACGGCGCCTCACCATTTCCAGACCACCTTGAGCCATCGCCCAAAGCCTGCGAGGAGGTATACCACATTCTTTCTGGGTCTCATGGCCACTCTAGACACCCATCAGAGATGCCTCTTCCTTCTCTGGAAGTTGCTGGTTGTGGTGAAGTTCCCTCGCTACTGGACGCCCTGATGAGAACCATCCTTAGCGGCAACACCAGCATGGAGAATGCGAACAAGAAGTTGATTGGCTTGAGAGATGCATTTGGCCTATGCCAACGTGGTGCTGGCGCAGGAAGCATCGACTGGGACAGGGTCTACCGGGCCGAGAGATCACTCGTGGTTGAGGCCACTAAGCGAGGTGGTAGCCAAGAGAAGAAGACCGATGAGATTCAGCGAACCATGAGCATGATCTACGAGAATAACTGCATTCGATACAGCGCTCTCCTGAGACAAAAGGAGACTGGAGAGCCATGTACCTTTCGTGGATTGAAGCCGGAGTCATCCGAAGAAATCGACGCAGAGATTATGAAGTTCGAGAAGGAACCTCTCACCATGCATTACGTATTCCAGATGACTGATGAAGATGCCATGGAGGAGCTCATTCAATATTACGGAGTTGGTGTCAAGACTGCTTCTTGCGTCATGCTGTTCTGCTTGCAACGTAACAGCTTTGCAGTGGACACTCATGTCCATCGATTCTGCAGATGGCTTGGATGGGTTCCATTCCGTGTTACCATGAAGAACAAGGAGCCTCGCAAAGTCTCCGAAAACGAGACATTCAGCCATTGTGATGTTCGCGTACCAAACCACCTCAAGTACGGTCTCCACCAACTCTTCATCAAACACGGCCAAGACTGCTACCGCTGCGTGGGTGGAAACATGCCTGGAACACCAAAGTGGGATGAATGTGTTTGCCCTCTGGAACATCTCCTCACCCGACATGAGAAGCTTCCCGGATTTTTGAAGCCTAGGAAGCAGTCCAATAGATTGGCGGAAGTTGAGGAGGAGGGCGTTGAGGAGGAGATGATCGAGGCAGAGGTTGTGGAGCCAAAATCGGGTCGGGCTAAGGCAGCCAAGCCAAAGATGGCCAAATCTCAGGTTCTCAAGGCTAAAGATGGCGAACAGAGTGTTGGTGAGAGTGCCAAGGTCAAGGTTGAGAGCGACGAAAAGCTGGCTGCTGCGACTGATGTCAAAGTCGTCACAGCCAAGGGCCCTGCTAAGAGAAAGCCGGCTGCAAGTCGAAAGCCAGCCGCGAAGGCTGCGAAAGTCACCATCTCTGCGAAGAGAAAGCCGGCTGCGAGAGGTGCCAATGCTAAGAAGGCTGTGGTCCAGAGTCCAGAGCCAGAGAAGGACGATGAAAGCGATTCGGAGTTGACGGATTTGGAGATGACTGATGAGGGTGAGGGATCTGAATATGACGACGGTACTGGGATTTGATGATTATACATATGGGGCGAAGGACATCATTACGACGACATGGTGCATTTTTTTTCTATTTGCTGCAGCCTTTGATGATACCCTAAAATTTGCTATGGAGACTTGCGGCATAATTTGGCGAGAGAGAGAGAGAGAGACTGAAAAAATATTAGCTTAGCAAATTGCGTTTTAGCGATATTATAATTGGGAAGACCATCCATCAAAACAACTTTGAAACTCACATGGGGTACTTTTGCATTTTAACACTTGAGCGATTTTGGATTTTTCTGCGATATTCGATTTTCTTGACGATATGAGATTAGTAGCAAAGGTAGCGAGCCAGTGTCCTTCATTGGAGAACATGAGTCTCTTGTCATCAGCCGTATTAGACTAGTTATCGAATCTCAATCCCATCTCTTAACCAAGACAGACATCTACGAAGTACGATCCGGAAACCCTCCTCAATATGAGATGAGCAAGCAGCAGCAAAGGTAGCCAGCCAGGCCCGCGTCCTTGCCTCCCCTTCGTGAGAAGACGAGTGGGTTCATTCATTATTCCAAACTGTATTCCACCAATCATCGTCTCTCAATGTTATCCCCCTCTCTTAGAAGACAAGGCATCTACGAAGTATGGACCGGAACTCTCTCCTCCTTCCTTACTCGGAGACAGATAGCCAGGCCAGAGCGAGAGGAGAACGGAGTGGAGAAAAAGGGCCCTCCCTAAAAGCCGCCAGCTTATTCGTTTTCCGATGGTCGTCACTATCACTGTTACGGTTGGGGGTGGGGAGTTCGCATGAGGTACCATTAAATCCTTGAGCCCAACATTGCAGGCGAGGATCAAGTGCTTAATTGTTGCCCGGCAGGACGTCGGCCAGGAAAACCGCACCTTTCCGGTCCCCCAGGAGCATGTTGAATGGAATTTCGAGGGTGTGGATGGAGCATGGCGAGGGTTGAAAGGCTTGTATGGCCGCGTAGAATCGTGTTGCTGTTGTGAAATTGGCGAGCAAAACCATGGGAGGTAGTGAAGCGAACGACCTCGAGGGTGTCTGCACAGCGGAGTGTGGCATCTCTTTGGGCTAGTTAGCAATATCTCTCTGATGACAGTAGTTTTTGGCATGAACGGTGGGATACATACCATACTTTCTCGCATCCCATAGTGCTCGACCCCACTATACTCATCGGCTGTTTGTAGTTGAGCCAGAAAGTCCACGTCAAGTTGTCATTCAGCTTAGGCAAGGTTGACAAAACTTTCTCAAGGTTCTGCTCATGGAGCAATGTCACATCCAGAGACGTGAGTTCAGACATGACCTGCGGTGCAACTGGAGGAGGTGGAAAACTGGTACAAAACCAGGTTTGGTTCGTTCAGGTCGACTGTCAAGGTCCGGAGCGACCCGATCCGAAGTAATTGTTGCAGCTGTCGCATTGACAATCTCGTGGCGCCTTAGGCGATGCAATCGGGGAGTTGGCACTGCTCGGAGTCGACAAAAACACAGCAGACCGATGGTAGCCCATATGATCCAGAGATACAAAAGCTCCATGCTGAGTCTTACCCAGGCTTAGTTCGGTTCGATCCTCATCAAAACAATTTTTGTATACTTACTTACCTTACCCAGCCCAACTTCCCTCCCCCTCCCCCCCCCAAAGAATTAGGGAAACAGGTCAGTCAGTATAAGTGTGGAAGGCCAGTCTATTAATTGCTACTTAACAGCTTCTCCACTGCCCATTTCACAGAAAGATTCCGAAGATCGCTATAGTGCTGTCCAACACCTACAAAAAGCACTGGGACGTTTGTGGCATGCACCATGCTAACCAATGTTCCGACCATATCTCCAACAGTGTCGCATTTGGAGATGATGAAGCCATCGAGTGACCGCCCGCTGCCGAATGCAGCATTGAAGTTCCTCGCCTGGGCTACGGAGTCTGTTCCTACCAATGCCTGGGTGGGTTAGTGACAGCAACACAACTGGACTAGGAATACATACTTCTCCAACCATGAGGATTTTATCTGGTTGTGCGAACTTGGCAAACTTTTCGAGCGACGACATGAGGCGCTTCGATTGTGTCAGTACGAAAAGAGACCAAAACCGGGGGCGAACTTACTTGGTCGTTGTGACGGCGTCCAGCGGTATCGATCAAGACCACGTCGAATCCTTCTTCGCCGGCAAGAGTCACGGCATCCTTTGCCACGTTGGCGGCATCCTTTCCGTAGCCCTTCTGGTACAGCTCAACCTGTCCTCCCTCTCGCGAAGTCAACTCTTTCAAGTTTCGCACGTGTACAGCCAGTTGTTCGACAGCACCTGATCTGAAGGTATCACAAGCCACGACCAGCACTTTGTACTTGTTCTGCAAAAGGAAGAAGCAAATTTTGGACAGATTCGTGGACTTTCCAACACCGTTGACACCCACGATTGACATGACATATGGACGTCGTTTTTGCAGGGAAAGAGCTGAAGGTGCGGTCACTGCATCGATTTCTCTCAGCAGATCAAGGGACGAGGTTGGAGTCAAGATTTTCCGTAATGATGACTCCATCGCTGTTTGGATCTTGGCTTGCACGCCTGTAACATGGTTAACAAGGGCTGAGATTCAACGGCATATCGATACTAACTTTCAAAGTTGCCCGTTTTCACCCCAATCAATTCCCTCTCCACACCTTCGCAAAGTCGTACAGCAGCTTCGCGAGCTACGTTCTTTCTTAGCAAGTGGTCTTCCATGCCTTTCATGGCTTTATTCAAATCCTCTTTTGTCAAGGTCTTTCCTCCCACAACATTTCTGAAAAGTCCTCCTATGGCGCTCAGACTAGATCCCACGATTCCTGTAGTTGCAGCTGTCGATGTTTCTTCTGCTTTCTTAGCATCCGCTGAGGCCAATATGGAGTTGACTTGGTCGTCCAGATCTTTCAGTACGAATTGTCCTTTTCCAGTCTTCGATCCCCATGTCGCTTGGTCCACTTCCTCCATGGCTCCTGGCCGCTCCTTGCCTTCATCCTCGCCTGATGTGGCACCGTTTGCTGGCGCGGAATAATCGAGCGGGGTATCGCTATCCTCATCGGCTAGCCCATCAGCATCCCATTTTCTTCCTTTCTTTGCTCCTGAAGGCTTTCCAGTTTTGCCTTTCTTAAAAAAAGACTCATCTCCTGAAGATGCATATACCGTCGGGGTATTAGCTGCTTTTCGTGCTCTTCGGGAGCCTTTGCCACCTGGTCCTACCTTTCCAGTGAGTATGTGGCTTGCTGGTGTGCTGGGTCGTGAATTCTCTGGCGTAACGACGGGGGTAGAGTCGTTCGAGGTCAGATCTCTATAGTTGTTTTTCGATTGCCCTGATTCGGGTCAGCCTCCATAGAGTCTTTCCCTTTCCCTGTGAACGTACCTCTTGAAAGCAATCCGGGCATTGGAGGAGGCTCATCGTCAAAGTTACCAGATGTTGACGGTGGTGCCTCTTCGACAAATAGGGAGGATTCGGCTGCTCTCGTATCTTTACCCAGGCCTGTCTTTTCGAGTTTCTGTATTTGCTGGTCGAAGTACTCGTCGAAATGGCATTCAACCAAGGTGGTATTTGGTCTCTTTAATTGGTCGCCATACAGATCCACGAAGATCGCCTTGATATTATCCACGAGTTTGTCAATCCAGGATAAGTGAAGGAGGGATCTGTAGACTGCCTAAGTAGAACTTAGTCATGGCCGAGCCTAGGAGTTGCGCTACTATCCCATCATACCACAAATATCAAATTCAACTCCTTCACTGTCGTCCATTTCAGGGTATGCTGCTCGTATTTGTATGGAGGGTTGTCTGCTGCGGAAATATCATTTGCGGTGCCCGATCCAGGAAGCGTGCGCTCCTCGATGAAAACACTGGTAATGAGGCTGTTAATGATTGAAGGGCTTGTCGGCGCAAAGGATTTTGACCACAAGACGACACCAGAAGTCGTCAGTATTTCGAAAGAGTCCAACATCGTGATGGAATAGTAAGGATGTTGTTGTATTATTGGGAGAGAGAGAAGAGTGTTGATCTATCGGTGGCCGCCAGAGAACCAGATCGATAAGGCTGGCTGGCTGGACTGGGCTGACTGAGTCCCGAAGTTCAAGCGAAGCTAAGTACTAGCAAGGTAGCCGCTGTAGCTCTGGAAAAAGAAATAGGAAAGCCAGGTTGTCCAATTCAACAAGCCGCATCGCATTTCTGCTAGAAACCAAATCTCCATCCCTGTCTTTCAAGTTCACTTCATACGCAAAGATGCAGAGACCGACTTATGGAAATCCCGCTCCAGCAACATCTCCGCCTCTCCACCACCCTGTCCCTCAACACGTATCTACAGTCCCTCAGCTCAGATCTCCTCCCCCTCCCATGTCGCAGCAGCAGCAACAACAACAACAGAGTGGCTATGGAAACCCCTACCAACAGCAGGCTCCCCAGGGAAGCAGCGCGTTTGGCGCATACGGGAACTTCATGTCGGATCCTACGGCGCAAATGGGCTTCCAGGTTGGACAAACTGCATTCAAGCACGGAACAGAATATATGGAACAGAACGTTGGTGGAATACAACTCTTTTTCTCCTGGAAATCGCTGATCCAACCTAGATTAACCGATATGTCAAACTTTCAGCGCTTAAACACTACTTCAACGTATCGAATGGCTATGTGGTCAACAAACTGTTCCTGGTCCTCTTTCCTTGGAGACACAAGCCGTGGTCTAGAAAGCAAACTCTTGGTCCGGATGGTCAGGAGGGATGGTTTATGCCACCAAGAGACGATCTAAACAGCCCGGATATGTACATTCCAGTAATGGCTCTGGTCACATACATTCTCCTAGCCGGTATGATTGCAGGTCTCCGAGGCGCCTTTGAACCAGAGTTACTGGGATACACGGCAACTTGGTCCTTGTTCATTGTCATAATAGAGATACTGCTGCTTAAATTGGGCACCTACTTGCTCTCTATTGCCAGCGACTCGCAACTACTTGACCTTATTGCCTATTCTGGTTACAAGTTTGTCGGCGCCATCGTCACGATCGTTGTCAGTGAGATATTCAGCGGTGGCAAAGGTACTGGTGGATGGGTTGGGTGGACTATTTTCGCCTACACGTTCTTGGCGAATGCGCTGTTCCTGGTAAGCTCTCCGCCAAAACACTAGCGATACTTCAGCTGAATTGCCTGCCAGTTACGATCTCTTAAGTACGTCCTGCTTCCCGAAAACTTGGCCGACGGAGGAGGATCTATGCAAACAGTAGCCCGATCGCAAAAGAACCGAAGAACACAATTCCTTTTCGTATACTCATACCCTGTACAACTATTTTTCATGTGGATGCTCACACGGGCTTGAACTATACCTGGGTGGGATGGCATTACTGGCGTTGGGTTTCATGGGTCAAGGTTATCGTCTCGTGCTCGATGATGTTGAGGGTCTGAATGCAGGGGATAGAGCACTCATGGCGGGCAATTCGGAATCGTTTGTCAAATACAAGACTTGAGCAGCGGTTTCCAGAAAAGAAACGAAAACACTATTGACAACACCAAGTCTCTTGCTACTACTCTGCTTGCTCGGTATCAAAGGGGAAAGTCTTGGTGTTGTGTGCAACATTTTGCTTGTTTCTAATGCGCGCACGCTGTCTATGGTTGTCTTTCTTACATGCGCCACCTGAATCACATTCGGTGGAAAGTCGTTCGTTCTAGTCAGGTTCTACTCTACTCCAACTGCCCTTTTAGTTACGGTCCCAAATACCCCTTTTTTTTTAGAGAGAGGCTAGGTCGAATCGCGCCTTAGTTAATAGCGATTGTCGCCGGCTTGCGAGGTCGCGCCAATCTGCTGTTATCTGCTTCAACTATAGCTGTAAGGCTCAAAAGACTTATATTGATACTTTTGGGTGAGGATTTATCGCAATATCCGCCGAGAGCTTCGCAGTGATCAATGGAACGGAGTGTGGGAGGTTGGGCAGAAGGCAAGAATGGTCGCTGAAGCTGAGAAGTACGTCGTCATGATGGCGAAGTTGGACTGGATCTATTTTGGCCAGTATCCATAGCTATCGTGGATGGAATCTTGTGCTCTACGGAGTACTCTGCTCAGCAGGATTTTTGGTTGGCAAGGACTTGGTACCGCGTGAAGCGCTGAAGGAGCGGTACGTTGGGATAGGGAATAGGAAGGAGGAAATTATTGATACTGAGCCTTGAGTACAGCAAGCAGCTTTAAATATCGACGTTCGACTCTCCATATACAGAAGAATAAAGAGGATCTTGACCGAATTCATAGCATTGACGATTGATCTAGTAGGGGCTTGATTATACCTACGAAATTACATTCGGTTAGGCTAGCCTCGTAGAGATACGACGAGTACGAGCGAGGTATATGACAAGGCGTATACCGTACCGGCAAGGCTGACATGGTCTAGCGTGCTCTTCAGCGCGTCACCCGCCCGAGAACCTCAAATACCTTGGGCTCCCGAATCTAGACCTCCATTCCAAATTGTAGTGAATACCGACCCACCCCGCGGATTCTCAGCAAGTCACCTTCGCAGTTGCATTCAATCGTAAACCTATGCTAAACTAATCTACAAAGAGCGAAATAGTTCCTTTGCCTCCGAACTTCCAAAACCTTCAGCTACAATTACAACCACAGTCCATCTTCATCCCGCCCTCTGTTTCCCGCGAGCACCCCTACCAATCGCAGTGGATTTATTCTTTCCCTCGAAGAATATTTCAGGCAAGACCGCAGTTTGTCAACGACTTGTGACCAGATGGTGTGCTCATAGCACACAATAAACTTTCGCCATGAGGGAAGAAGATATTTTGGAGGAGCTCCACGAGCTGGATGGGTATGCGATTTCCCTCCTTTGACGCTCTATGCACTTGGAGAACTCCCAGTCTAAAATTTTTGGAGCCTTCTCTTATATATCTGCGAAACCCATTCATGATAGCCTCAGATTTGTCGCTCTCACCTTACATTAAAACCTAGGCTAACCCTCGAATCTGCAGTAAACTCAAGAGTCTTCCACCCCAAACACATTGGCTCTGCCCTAGGCGTTTCGAAGACGACATGGTTGACTACGACCAACCTGATCAAGCCGATGAGGATATGACCTTGGAAGAGAAACGCAAGCACATAAGAGATGGCAGAGAACGACATGAGATGGCTTACAAGTACTCTCTTGTTTATGGATTGGGCCAAGATTTGGTTGGGGATTTACAAAATGCCTACCAAATGAAGCTGAACGGGTTTCTGGCGACTTGTGATAAATGCGCCTACAACTGGCATGAAGGTCGCAAGGCATTTCTGAAAGACCTGTCGGAGTAAGTACCCTGGAACTCCAACTATATACATATCCATGCTTAAGTTCACAGGAAATTTGAAGAAGAAGTCGTCAGAGACATGGCAGAGCGACTTAGCTCAATTGACTTTGTCCGGCTGAACAAAGGTCTTAAAGGTGCCGAAGAGACGCTCAACCAAGTCGACCCCTTAAAGCGTACCCAAAGTTACCTGGCCACCCACAACCAAACTGGTCTACTCGCTCTTTATGAATCTCTGTGCTGTGTTGAGTACCATCGAAATGATCAAATTTTGGCCGGAAGTTTCGATTTTGTATTTGAGCAACTACAAAGTAGAAGGATCCTTAGGATGGCGGATCTTTTGCCTGCCATGGCACGATTTCTTTTCAGCCGCAACCCCATTCGCAATCGGTTTTCAATAGCTGCCTGGGAGAAAACAGAGTCAAAGCTCACAGGCAAAACTTTCGATTGGGCCGTTCACGATGTTCTTACTGAAGCTATCATGTTGGTAGCACAACCATGTGCCGACCCAGATGACATAACGATTTTTTGGAAAGGCTTTCTTCGGATCTTAGCAAAGATGGACAAGGACCTCATCACCCATCGTTTGCTTGCAATGGAAGTTCAACCGGGTATATTTCGCCTTGCACTGCAACATTTCTCGGCCAACTCTGGCACTATTGTTCAACTTGTTCTCGATGCCCTGCAAATACTCCTCGAGAAGGCCCCCAGAGCTCTCTGGTCATCGCTGGGCTCGATCTCCGCCTCGACGGTTGCTGACCAGGTTTTTCAAAGCAAGGGCTTCATGAAATTACTGGCAAACCCGGACAATTTTGAGAAAGATGATCCTAAGAGATCGCAAGTGGTCTCGTGGATTCCAGGTTTCTTGAAGTCTATCAGTTCAGACCAGCAGTACGAAGCATGTCGGACTCTACTTAGCCATCTATTAGGCCTGGTCCAGCGGGCCCCAGAATGTGCAGAAGCAGCCAAAAATGCCTGCCTTTTTGCTGGCCTTGATGCTCTATATCTTACATTGATACCATTCAATTCAAGCGAGTACAGAGTCAACGCCTCGACCTCATTGATAGTGATTAGTGAAGTAATGGGGCTTGTCAATCAATACAAACACATCATCACCGGCTGTGCCGATCTGGGCGAGGATTCAGAAAACGTTTCGAAACTGAAGGGACTAGCTTTGCTCGTTATCAAGGAGGCACTTGCTCTCGACTGCAAGAGTATCAACATTGAATGCGAAGAATTACGACGCGACATCCCCATTCAGCGTGGACTCAGAGGCCATTCACAGTCCATTTGGCAAGCAGTCTTGGACATTTTCAGACCCGGCAATGTTGAATTAGCGAAAAGTATCATCCCAGCTACTTTCCAGCTCGTCGGACTCGATAAATTCCTCCCGCGGGATAAGAAAAAGCCAAACGAGATGCCAGCGAATCAGCTACAATTCAACAAGGACGTTGGTCAGCTCATGGATAACGTCTCGAGAATCATCGATCGACTGAGTGACTTCCCAAGCATGGACCTGGGTCAATTCTCTCAAGATCCGAAAATGTCTCGTCCACTGTTTGCGTCATTGATATCCTCTGATGAAAATGTTTGCCAAGCTACAGTTGGCGTTATCAAAGCTATGACTGGTGAAGATACTAGGCAGGATGCCGTCCAGAACCTCTTTGAGACGTCGTTTGGTCAAATGCTCAGTGCTTTGATTTTTGCCGCCAATAAGGTAATCAACACGAAGGCTTTCGGTCCTGTACCAAACATGGTAAAGTTCAACCGTGAAGCTCTTCAGGCTTTGGCTGGGGATACAGGCGTTATTCGGGCTCGCTCTGGGTTCTCCAAAGAGGATAAGAAAGCCATCATGCTCTGGTGGACAGGTCAATGGCGAGTGCTCGACATGATTTTTTCAAATTTGGAGAAGTGGGCCCCACGGGTTGACAAGAACACCCAAGGAATGTTAGACTTCACCCGCGATGTGGCAGAATTCGCAGGCGAATTATTCGGCAAGTACAACGTCTTTGCGTCTTCTCAGCAGAGCACCTCGCCTACGTCTTCAGAAGACGAAGGAGACCTAGAGACCTATATTTCATCAAAAGATGCCATCAAAAAGGTTCTACAGGTGACCTGTAACAATCTCGACGGTATGACGACGTGGCTGCGTCTGCGAGATGGATATATGATCGGTGTAATTGCAAGTTTTCTCGGCAAGCTTCTCGGTGTTCTTGGAGACTACAACCTTGAAGTTGATGACAGAACCGCCAAGTTCATCAAGAGCGCCCTGGATGGCTCTACCAGAACGAATATGACATCGCAGCAAAAGGCTGATCTACAGAGAGCCTTGGATGATCATCAGGGTCTTGAAATCATTGATGAACCCAAGAATGTCTCGATCTTCAAGAAGAAGCAAGCCACTATTGATTCTTGGACAGCTTCTGCCGAGGGAAAGCAACACGAGCCACGACTGCCTCCAAAGACCGAGACAAAAAGCACAACCACCTTCACCGGCAAAAGCGACAAGTATGCTTCTCTCGTCAAACACAAGGCTGAGACTGTCATGTCCGAGGCAGCTAGAGAAGCCTTCAAGAGTAATCGCCGCAAGCTGGAAGAGGAAAAGGCCAAGACAAAGGCCGAAGCAATTGCAAAAGCCAGAGCGCTCCGCGCACCTGCAGCAATCAGGGGAGAGGGCTCCGGCCTCAACGGTCTCGGTGGGGTTGCCGGTAAGGACCATGCACCAATCCGAAGTGAGATCATGGTCTCTTCTGATGAGGAGGATGACGATGAGGATGATGAAGACGAGACCAATGCTCTTGTGAAAAAGAGGAAGGAAACCAACAAGACAGTGGCCGAGTATGAGGAGAGCAAGCGGCGTGCTCGCCTTCTGATGAATTCAGGCCCAGTCAAGAAAACCAAGGTACAGCGTTCAGCCAAGGATCTCCGTGCTCGTGTAGAGCCAAATATGGACAGACTCTACCTGGAGATCCTTGGTTGGGACATCTTTCACGACGGCGACTCTCCTCCAAGCAACAACGAGTGTAGGAAGATCGATAACAAGTACCTTGATCTGGATTTATACAAGTCAACATTCGGACCATTGCTTATTTCAGAAGTTTGGCGCTCTCTCGTCACCGCCAGGGACGAAAACAACTACAAGCCGATTGAGATCAAGGTCCTGAATCGCTTGTCCGTCGACAAGTTCATGGAAGTGAGCACCAACATGCCCAGATCGACTAGCCGAGACCTCCAGGTATCTGAACGTGACATTGTTCTCCTCTCTCAAAGCCCTGATCCATTGAACAGTCAAGGCCAGCCACATTGTCTTGCCCGTGTTGAGCGTACCACTCGCAAAAAGGATGTTCTTGAAGTCACATATCGAATCAGCAGAGACACCAAGCCTGCGCTTCTGCAGTGCTTGGTTCCCAATGGCAAGCTCTACATCCTGAAGATTGCAGATATGACGACTACACAGCGTGAGTATGCGGCTCTAAGCAGTTTGGAGTACTACGATCTTTGCAGTGAAATCTTGGAGGCAAAGCCCTCACCCCTTCAAAAATACACGGATGAGAAGGTATCGTCTGTCTCTGCGAGGTACAATCTTAATACGGGGCAGGCCAAGGCAATTTTGTCGGCTAACGATAATGACGGATTCACGTTAATCCAGGGGTACGTCTAGCCATCTTTTTTCGTCTGATATTGTGTACTAATATAGATCACAGACCACCGGGATCCGGAAAGACGAAGACCATTGTCGCTATGGTTGGCTCTCTTCTCACTCAGACATTACAGCAGCAAGCCCAGGAACAGGCCCAGCAAAAGCCTGCAGCTCCGGGCCAGAAAGCTGCAAGCACAGCAGCACCCAAGAAAAAGCTACTGATATGCGCTCCCAGTAACGCAGCCGTGGACGAGTTGGTCGTTCGATTGAAAGAAGGAATTTTGCCCCTGAGTGGTTCTCGCCAAAAGATCAACGTCATCCGTCTTGGTAGAAGTGATGCTATTAATACGGCGGTGAAGGATGTTATGCTTGACGAGCTGGTACAGAAAAAGCTTGATGGCAACAGCGGCGAGAAAGATAAGATAAACGCTGACCGCGAGAAACTGCACACGGATGCTGCACAGATCAAGGAAAAACTGAATGTTATCAGACCTCAGATGGACAAGGCTCGGACCGATAACGATGTCATCGAGGAGCGCAAACTCCGTCAACAATTCGATCAACTGAAGCGTCAACAAGCCATGATCGGCTCGAAAATCGACGAGGACAAGCAAAGTGGCAACACGTATGCGCGCCAGAACGAGATCAATCGTCAGAGATTCCAGCAAGAGATAATTGACGGTGCTCATGTTCTCTGCTCCACGCTCAGTGGTAGTGGTCACGACATGCTCCGAAAACTCAACGTCGAATTCGAGACGGTCATCATCGACGAAGCTGCACAGTGTATCGAGCTCAGTGCCTTGATTCCACTTAAGTATGGATGTTCAAAGTGTATCCTTGTCGGTGATCCTGAACAACTCCCACCTACGGTCCTCTCTAGATCTGCTCAGAGCTTTGGATACGAGCAAAGTTTGTTTGTCAGAATGCAGAAGAACCACCCCAAGGATGTTCATCTTCTCGACACGCAGTACCGTATGCATCCTGAAATTAGCAGCTTCCCAAGCGAGCAGTTTTACAACAGCAGACTGATCGACGGTCCTGATATGGCGAAGTTGAGACAGCAGCCATGGCACGCTAGCACTATCCTGGGACCCTATCGATTCTTTGATGTCGCAGGTACTCAGACGAAGCAGGTCCACGGTCATTCGTTCATCAACATTCCCGAACTCAATGCCGCACTGCAGCTGTATTCACGCCTGAAGACCGACTATACGAATGTTGACTTCAAGGGTAAAATTGGTATCATTACCACCTACAAGGCTCAGCTGAACGAAATGAAGCTTCGATTCGCTCATACATACGGCGAAGAAATCTTTCAAGAGATTGAATTCAATACCACCGATGCTTTCCAAGGGCGAGAACGAGAGATTATCATATTCTCTTGCGTTCGAGCTAAGGCTACTGGAGGTATCGGTTTCCTTGGAGACATCAGACGTATGAACGTGGGTCTCACTCGCGCCAAATCGTCTCTTTGGGTTCTTGGAGACTCTCGTTCATTGAAGCAAGGTCAATTTTGGAATAGACTCATTGAGGATGCAAAGTCCCGCGACAGATATACCACTGGTGATATTGTGGCCCTCTTTTCGAAGCCGACAGCCCGTGGTGGTCAGCCCGCTATGAAGGCCAAGCCAGCTCCAGCCAACGGGACAGCTCCCTCGCCAGCACTCTCCCAGGGTGCATCTGCTCCATCCAATAACATTGCTGGTCCAGCTCCGCCACAGGAAGTTGACGACTCCGAAGACGATGTCGGGATGACCGATGCTGCATGTATTCCTAATTCTAGGAAGCCATCAGTTGTTGCCTCACCCCCGGTAGCCAATGCTTCTCGAGGTCAGAACTTACTGGGTGACCAAAGTAAGCCCGGTCACAAGAGAAGCCGGGATCCAGAAGACCAAGGTGAATCAGGACCTGGAAAAAAGGTAAGCTATCGATATATGAAATCGACTCCGGATCTGTAGGTTAACATATATAGGCTCTCCCGAACCCACCCACTGGCCAAATGTCTTCGATCGAGCTCGCTCTTCAAGCTCAGCAGGCGGCAAAAGCCAAGTCAGCAGGTGCGCGACCGCGCCCCCCGGGAGGTGTAGCACCACCACGACGTCCTCGACCCGCTGCAGATCCTTTCATTGCGCGCAAGCCAGCCAAGCGGAACTGATTTCCACATATCTGGATCATGCGTCTTGTCCTTTGTATTTTTCCCTCTGGCGTTCGTGATGGGCGGGGGAAGCCATAGGTGCCGGTGCCGAACATCCTGGCGAGCATTGCAGGCGTTGCATTTCTAGCGGATTGGACCGGGGCATAGAGCATCAGCATTTATTTTATGGTGGAGGAATTCTGGTACATAGACGAGCCTGTAGCTAGCTAGTTGGTAGGGCGTGGCTTCAGTGAAGCTCGCCTCGAATAATATTGTGAGCATGGCCATCGCGGGCACGCAGGCGACGATGACGGCCGTGACATATGGAGAGATCCCTCACCGACGACAGTACCGGTACCTACGTAGTAATTGCTTGATTGACATCTGGAGAATCGGCAAAGCTTGTCTCTGGTGCATGTGCATCCATCGCCACCTGGCTTTGCGCTTTCCAAGCCGGATGCAGGTACCACCACTCGGGCTGTCGGGCTGTTGGGCTGTTGACCCGATCCTCGGTCCAGATAGAGTTTCGCCGCATTTTCGCCAATCTGTTACTTACTACTGTACCAAGTACGTACTTACTACTTAGGTACGTACTACCGTATTTGCCCCCCCCCCCCTAGCAGCGATCATGGATAGATCTTACTGTATTAGGTAAGTATCGTATACCAGTAGTGTTCTTATTATCCCGACCAGCCACCATTCTTGCCTCCAAATTCCCAATTCTATTTAACTCAACTCAACTCAACTCAACTCAACTCAACTCAACTCAACTCAAATCAACTCAACGCAACTTGACCCCAACCCCCTCGGATTTCACAACCCCCTTTTCAGGTAGCACTTGACTTCCACGCAACGCAAGGAGCAAGTTCACGGCGATGTTATGGAGATCCTGTTTACGTACCATTCCTGGCATCCCTTTTCTGACTGGGCTCGGACTTGGACGGTGGTTTACTCTCTCCCATCTCCGTGGCCAGATCCGGGCTGCGTTGATCGAGACGTGATGATTGATTGATTTATTGAATTAATTTGTCTTGATTTGATTGATTGATTGATTGATTGATTGATTGATTGATTGATTGGATTGTATATCGATCACACCACACAGACAGACAATGCAGACAATCGTCTCGGGCTGGATCGGCCGGACCCGACTACCGGTACATCATCCCTTGGATACGCAGAAGTGTCGATTATCTGTTCTGCCGATCTGCGCCCTCTCAGCATCCAGCGGGTTGACGTGTCGTATCACCACCACCACAGGACCAGCACAACCACGAGGTCCATGAAGTGGAACAGCGAAAGCCATTTTTTTATCTGGGCCAAGAGGAGAGTCCCGGGCATGAATCCACGGTCAGGGCCAGGACCGGGACCAGGATGAGGCCAGAGATCCCTGGCTCAAATAGGAGTAATTCCGTACTCCGTCCGACGTCCGGTATCTGCACAGATGGCAGATTTGGCTTCTCCAGCACAGTCCGTAGGTACCTACCTAGGTATGTACGGTGTACCGGTATGTATGCACAACTGTCTAAGACCTGCTTTCTTCTCTCCCTTCTCTTCCCTTCCCTTCTCTTTTCCCCTCATGTATTTTCTCCCTTCCCTTCTCCCGATTTCAGTTCGGAATTGCCTTCGAGCTTTCCTACTGTTTTGGTTGAAATACACCGGTACCCTGCCTGTGTGTCGCACTGCCTGTCTGCCCGCCTGAGCCGAACTTTGCTGTCCTACTTCTACTAGACATAAAAGTAAGCTTCGGGCCTTGACTCGGCGCATATTTCTTCTTCTTCTCCTTCTTCTTCTTCTTCTTCTTTTCTAGCTCCAGCGCCGAATGCATCCATCCATACTTCTGAAATTGTACATCTGATCTAAACCGCGGTACAATCCAAGCAGAGCAACTCGGATGTGGCCTTGTCAACTGTCCAAGAGGCGGACCGTGTAGCTCTTACATCTGGCGCATCAACCACACTTGCAGTAACCATTAATCTTATCCAGCTCAAGGCCGCACTTTTCGACCCTTGGGAGTAGAAGAATGCTTATCTTGGTACGGAGCCGGACTTGCTAGCATTGCATCTTCAATATGAGGCGAACTGCAGAAATCCGACAATCATCTCCTGAAGGAATGAGAACTTCCATTTCCAGCATCGAGGCACCCTCCCTGCCCTCCCTGCCTTTTGAAAAAGAATCATCCGTTCTCGTGAGCAGAGAAGTGTTGGTCTCCTCAAATCGGGCTCCTACAGCGTCCCTCCTGCAACCAACCACCAAAAACGCCCATGTCCCGTCCGTGACTCCCGTGGCGGCATCAGGATCTGACCTACACGATTGGGACTCAAAATCCCCCGAGAAATCTTGGATGCTCTCCAGGACACCAGGCTCGATCAAAAGAGGGTCCAGGGAGCCTGGTCAGGCGCGCAGTGGCCGGGAGAGCATGAAGGCACTGTCAGACTTCCTTATGACCAAGGACCCCCCGCCAACGAACCTCATGAGTATTCCTGCCGAGGAAGAGAGAGACTTGACGTCGTTAAAAAAGGGTGCGCTAAGATTCTTCAAAAAGAGGAAGAGAGAGTCTCCGCGGCTCATGAAACTCCCTGACAGCGCTGTTGCTGCCCATACTCGCAGTGGATCCAGGCACATTGCCATCTCTATTCCCATGGAGTACGCTCATGTGCAGGAAGCAGCACCTACAACACCACTCAGACAATTTCCATCCCGCCCGCCAACCCCGTCAACCAAATCTACGACAGAGCAAAGGAGTGCGGCTACCACCCTCAAGCCTGTGGAGGAAGTCTGGGAATCTGCTTCTACGAGCCTTCCAGGCGACGGCGAGGAGACCCTCTCGGGTCCCCCGAGTCCTCTGAATGCGAACTTCTCTCCATCCATCTTGATACCGTTTCCGAAACCAAATGTCCGGCCAATCAGTGGTCACAACCCGGACTTGGCGAGAAGCCATTCCCCGCCATCAACCAGAAACGATCCACAGGCATCGCAGAAGAGCTACATTGCCGTCTCTCCTTTTGAGGGCTGTAATGACGACCTGCGGCTCAACGAAATTCGGGAGTCAGTAGAAACAGTGTTAAGCCAGATGTCTAGCGCCACTTCAACCGGACATACGCCTGGAGTCAGCAGTGTGTCGATGGCACCAACTGTCACACCGAAGAATCCAGACTTTCCGCCCCGGAGCTCGAGCATATTCAGGACGACAAAGAACAAACACGACCAATCGACTTGCAACTCGAATCTCATCAACGAGGAAGAGGAAAACCAAGTCTTGGATGGAACCCCGAACCCACCTCCGGCGGACCGACCGGGCTATAGTATCAGCACCTCGCCATCTCTACCAGCAGAGCTCGGCGTCGCAGTCAGAGGTTACAATGCGTCTGGTCGCCCACAGGTAGTACGGAACGGAACTCCGAAACCTTCAGAATCCGGACCCTTACCCGACGCCCCGGAGGGGCTAGCCAGCCTCCCAGTTATAGTTGCACTTCCGCAGAATGTATTTGTCCCTCGCACGTCCACTGCAGCTCCATTGAGAACCAGCTCCGTCTCCCACGCAGCTCCTAGCTCGAAAGACCGGGCCGAGACGACAGCTGCAGCGTCACGCGCGAATCCCAACAGAGACGGCATGGAGGAGTCGATCCTCGCTACCCGCCAATACAGGCAGGAGCGGGTGAAAGCTCGGAAGCTAAGAGATATGGAGTCGCTGCGTGCTCAGTCCGATAGTCGTCGCCCGCTTACCGAGTCCCGCGACAACGACATCAATGTCACTAAAGACCCGACTCAAAGCCAAGCAGTGCTCACTGCACCCCGACGCAGCTCTAAGAGGGGTCCCAGGGGACCAATTAAAGCATCAGTAAACAGTCTGTCGCCGATCATGCTGGTAGCGGACCTACCACCTTGCCCCGAAACCGCATCCGATCTCCCGTTCCGGATTTCCTCTATCCGAGACTTGAAAAGGACCAACAGGACTAGCCTGAAGTCCCCGCCACTATCCGCGACGTTGCTCCAATGCAAAAGCAATTTCACGTTGCCGCTCTCCTCCTTCTCCCCCTACGACTCGGACTCGGACGTCCTGCCCCCGACGACCTCGATCGCCAGCAACAACGTGCGCACCTCCATCACGGCGTCCTCGAGGAGCTCCGCCGCGCTGTCCACGCGCCGGGAGGAGCGGCGGACCCGGCGGAACGTCAAGCTCCGCGAGAAGGAGATGGACGCCCGGCTGAACAAGATGGAGCATGACAACATCCTGCTGCTGCAGACGCTCGGCGGCGTGGCGGAGAGCTTCGGCACGCTCGGACGCGTGGGCATGGATCGCCTCGAGGAGAGGCGGCTATCCGGCCGAGGCCGGCCGAGCGATGAGCTCTGGTCGTCGCCGACGACGGGAGAGGGCGTAGATTCTTTCATGCAGGAGCTGCGGAGCGGGGGCGTGCCGCTTGCTGCGCCTGCTGTGCGTGGCCTGGGGCTCGTTCATCCTAGCCCGGGTATCCCTCGCGGGAGGACGCGAGGGAGGTGTAGTAGAGGGGAGAAGGAGGATTACGAGGATGAGGAAGAGGGTTAAGCGAGAAGATTGTTTTTTTTTTTTTTTTTTTTTTTAGAGTATTGTATTGTACCCTTTATATTCAGAGTCTTCTTTATCTTACTACTTTACAGTTAATTCATTAATCAATTAGTGGGCTTTGCTAGCTGCAAGTGATATTCATCATATGTTCTATCTGTTTGTGTTTGTCTCTCTGTTTGTCACTTCTCTTCTCTTGTCTTGTCTTGTTTTGTCTTGGGGGCTGATGATGAATGACCGACGGATTCCCCGAGGAGCGTGGAGTTTACGTTTTAGATCGTGCGGAAGGAGGTGAGGTGGACTGAATATAATTGACAGGAACCATGAGAAGAATATATGTCCGTGAGTGAGCGCGATGCTGGCAGCTAGCTAGACTGGCTAGACTGGCCAGCAGGTAGGCTAGCTGGCAGTTACCAATCCCCTTCTCTCTCTCACGCCAACCAGTTCGAAATTCTTTCCTCGCTCGAACACCGCACGCCACGCGAGCTTATCTAAGCTAGCCAACCTCTCCATGTACCTCGACCAGGATCTTGACGTGGTTATCCTTATCGTGGATCAGGCTGTCGTATCCCTCCGTTACGGCGTCGGCTAGGGGGACGGTCTTTGTGATCATCTTGGAGGGCTGGATGGTTCCTGTGTGGGTTGTTGGTTGGATTTGTTGGGTTTGGAAGGAATATTAGAGGGAGGGAGGGAGGGAAGAGAGAGGAGGGAGGAAGAGAGGAAAAAGAGTCCGCCTACCAGCAACAATCGCATCCAACACCTCCGCAAACTCCCCCGCCACAAATGTTGCGACGCCCATATACCTCCGCTCTTTAAACACAAAGTCGTTCGGGAAGATCGGCGTCGGCTTCTCCCACACGGCGATGTTGACGAGCGTGCCGCGCGCCCGGAGCGACTCGATGGCCGCCTGCAAGCCGCTCTGCACGCCCGCGGCGTCGAAGGCGACGTGCACCCCCTGGCCCTGGCCGTGGCCGTGGCCGGCGCTGCACAGCCTACGGACCTCGGTCACGACGTCGACGTCAGTCGGGTCCAGGACGTGGTGGGCGCCGAAGGCGGCCGCGAAGCGCTTCCGCTGGGGCGAGACCTCCGAGACGATGATCTGGCCGGCACCCTTGCAGCGCAGGACCTGGATGACGGCGAGACCGATGGGGCCGCCGCCGATCACGAGGACGTCATCGCCGGCGCGGAAGGGGGAGGTCTTGACGGCGTGCCAGGCGACGGCGAGGGGCTCGATGAGAGCGCCGACTTCGAGGCTGATGGTGGGCGGGAGGGGGATGGCGCTGGTGGCGGGACAGACTGTGAAGTCGGATAGGCCGCCTCCGCAACCTGTTGGTTGATCGGGGAGGTGGGTGAGCCACCATGATGGAGAAAGGGAGAAAGGGAGAAAGGAAGAAAAGGAGGGAGAGATGGGACGCACCGCTGAGCCCGATGAAGCCGTTGCTATAGCAGCAGTTGATGTAGCCTTCCAAACAGGCACCGCATGTCCCGTCGAAGATGATGGGCTGTACGCACACGCGATCGCCGACGCGATGGCTTGTCACTCCCTCGCCGACTTCCACCACGGTCCCGCTGAACTGGAAGATCAGGCGGTCAGCGCATCGCATGTTCATCTCATCTCCAGGTGGATGGATGTCTGTCTCATGGGCACGGCTGAAAGGAGAGGAGACCGAGCTAGCTGGTAACCCACCTCGTGGCCGATCGTCAACGGCACCTTCTCGCCTGTAATCGGGTGCGGATGCGCCGATGGTATCAAGCTCGCTCCTCCCAAGTACTCGTGCAGATCTACGCCATATACATTATACACATATCAAAAACAGGAATAAGAGCCATCTCCATACACGCGAGAACGAACGAGATGAACAGGAGGGAAGAGGAAGAAGAGGAAAAAGAAGAGGGAAAAGAAGAGGGAAAAGAAGAGGGAAAAGAAGAGGGAAAAGAAGAGGGAAAAGAAGAGGAAAAAGAAGAGGAAAAAGACGAAGAAGAAGAAGAGAAAAAGAAGGAGAAAAAGAGACGAACCAGTCCCACAGATCCCCACAAACGCAGGCCGGATCTTGACCTGCCCTCTCCCACACACCGGGACCGGAACCTGATCGAGCCGGATATCTCTCTGGCCGTGGAAGCGCAGCGCGCGCATCGTGTCCGCGGGCCCAGCTGCAAAGGCCTGCTTGAAGTTATACTCCACGGGCTCGGCGGGCATGGCGACGATCTTCTCTCTTCCTCCTCTCCCTCTTTTCGAATTGGAGCGGTCACGATGAGGATGGAATGGCAAATAGCAGACGCCGTATCAGGTCAGAGAAAGGAAAAAGCGGCCAAAGGGATGGTAGCTTTTGATTTCCTTTCCCTCCTGAGCTTCTGATTCGGAAATGGATAGAGAGCGCTACAGCCGAAGATCGAGAGACGACGTCTGAAGGAAGATATTTTTATACCGAGACTGGACCGAGACTGGATACTGACAACCTCAATTTATCAAGAGGTGGGGGGATCATCTCACTTTACATACCTCACATACATGTTACACTCGCTTACTTACTTACCCCGCCTCCATTAGCCGCACTGCTCACCTCACCTCACCTCAACCCCTATCTTTTTCGGCTCGCCTATTCGGGACATCCGCGGGCCTGTGTTTACGTACGAGAGTGGTATTTTAAAGCTAGGCGAGAACTGCGCTGCTTGGCTCGAATGAGTTGAAGACGTGCTTTTGAAAACATGGCGGTGTTGCCCGTGTTAAATCACCACAAGAATTTCAATACAATCGATGATTCCGCCAATCAGATTCATACCCCAGGGGAGGTTTGTTTTTTCTTTCTCTTTCGGAAGTATCATGGTCATCGTCTTCTTCCTCGTGGTGCGTTGTTTACCACCCGCGGCTCTTCTTGGTGGACATCGAGACGCGCGTGTGTGCCGCATCTGTATCCGCAGCCGTGACACGCTCCTGTAAGGCCGTCAGAAGGCTGCCCCGTGTCATCTCTCCAGCTCTGGTAGGCGATTGCTGGAGACATAGATAAAAATTAAATACGACAAGGACATTGTGAGAGTGGAAACGCACTCGTCGTTGCAATGCCGGTATCGAAACCGTAGTTATTTGACATTGATATCAACAACCTCTCCACCAGTCAAGAAAGAGAGGGGGGGTAAAAGCGGTCTGCTGACCTACGAATAGGAAAGTGCCAATGGCAGCGAACAGCGCCAGGCCAGTTGTATACCAGCCTGCCGTTTTGAATATGCGCTCTCTTTCTTTGGCTGGAGGGCATTCAAGGTCCATGAATAAGACTCGGGAATCAAGATCAATGTATAAGGACAGAACTCCTTCTTCTTTGGCTGTGCAGACGTTAATGAAGCGAGATCATTGCCAAAGATCTTGAAATTGGGATGAAAGGATAGCAAAGTTGACAGTAACACAAACGCAAAGCAAAGATCGGCAATAGGCGGGCAGAGCAGGGTGTATCTGTCTGATCGAGGGATGGATGAATGCTGCGACCGGCAATTCTTCGACACAGTATCGCCGCAGACTTACCCCGAGGGCATCGCGGAGACCCCGTGGGGTAACTGGGGGTGGATAGGCCTCAACTGTGGATTTTTCCAGTCCACTATCTGACAGTATTTTTGTAATGAAGGACCTCATACCTCTCCTGTGGATGGTACAAACTCTCAACCCACATTCGTGCTCGCCAGGGTCCTTCGCAACACCAGAAGTTTGAGTCCCTCAAGCTTTGCATGTGCACTTGATTGAAGAAGCAAACTCCTGGTTACTTGCCGCAGTCCACAAAAGAGGACATCCGGTCCAAAACATCGACTGGGGGTCGTGGAATGCATCTCGCATCGCATGTGCCCCAAGTCGGCATCCCCTCCGACCTCTCGCTAACCTTTCCACATCCCAGAAACCAAGCCACCACGCTACCCTTCACCCTCCATCCCCAACGGAACGCTCAAGGCAAAATCTCTTCCCCCTTCCAATCCCAACACCGTCCCCTTCCCTCCAGTCCCACCCCTTTGACAACCCCCACCATCTTCTCGACCGCAAACTCCGGGCTAAACAGCTTCCCTTCTTTCACATTCCCCCAGAACTCCTTACTGAGCCCCGTCTGTACCGTACCGGGATGATACGCGATCATCATCGCCTTCTCCCCGCTCCGCGTCCGTAGATACAAGTCCAGGCTCTTACTCATGCTGTTGATCGCCGCCTTCGACGCGCGGTACGAATACCACCCTCCGAGCGCGTTGTCGGAGGTCGAGCCCACGCGTGCCGACATATTAAGCCAGACCGCCTGGGCCGGGATGCCGAGATCTGAGCATTCGGAGGGCGAGGGTAGGGAGGTGGACTTCTTGGGTAAGAAAGGCGTGAAGTGTTTGGCGAGGAGCAGGGGGCCGACGGTGTTGATGGCAAAGGTGCGGGTGAGATTCTCGTGCTCGAGTTGCGAGGGGGACTTCTCTGGGTACAAGATGCCTGGAATAGAGAACGCCATGTGGAGATGGTGGGAGGAGGAGGGAAACATGGTTTTGGCGTCTTCTGCTGCGCGGATGATGTCGCTCTCGTCTGGTTTGCGGTCAGTCTCTGATCCGTCCGGAATTTTGATAGCATTGGAATTTGAACTACTCACTTGTGACATCCACTTTGAGGACATTCAAACGATCAGGATCAACATCTGGTAGATCCTCGAGTATGCTTTTCTTGACTCCCGTGACATCTTTCCTGGCCGTTGCAATAACGGGTATCTTTGTCGTTTGAAGGAGATGGCGGGTTAGGTGGAAGCCAATCCCTCTGCTCCCGGGGCAGACTAATGACCAGGCCATTGTTTTGCGCTTCTTGAAGGGATTTACCTGTACTACTTGTCAAGAAGGAAAATATTGGTATCATTCATCGATTGACTGATAGATATCGAGATGGTCACTTACAGGATCTACAGGCATGTAGATCTTCAAGCTTTGGTTTAGCGGCGGCTGGCTGCAGCTGGACCTATAGGGGATTAGCCCTCATACTGCCCTTACAGTTTAGCATGGAGTCGCATGGACATTTTATTCGTGTAGTGGAAAGTAATGACAAAATTGAGTATGAACCACTTGGCCATCTCGAAACCGGGATCCGGACACTATTTTCAATTCTCTTGCACAATATCAAAGACACCCAGATGTATATGTACTGTACGCCCAGTTGCATTCCCACTTATTAGCTAGTTACATCGGATCCCCAAACACCATTCTGCTGAAGCAAGTCGCAGCCAGTCGAGGGAATCTCTAGGTATATTATAGCAAAAGTACATTCCCTAACACAGGTTCCACTACAGCGCTACATCTTGGAAACTCGAATTTCCAGGCGTCTGTGACCCCGATCCTCCATCCTCAGCCGGCTCCTTTAACTTGCGGCCGCTTTCCTCTGAGTCTGATGGTGAAGCCAGCGCCGCGGGCCGAAGGGCAACTTTATGTTGATCGCGGTCTTCGACTCTGACTTTCTGCTCGTGTTGCGCGGCTGACTTGTCCTCTTTGCTCTCTCCTTCCCCATCCTCATCACTACCACCTTCTTTCTTCGCCGGGTCCTTGGTGGGAGGTGAAGGTGAAACAGCTTGGCTAGATCCATTGGTAGCAGGTGGACTAGGTAGTGGAGATTCCTTCTTCAGCTCAGGAGATGTTGGAGGTGCTAGCTCTGGCTGGGCAATTTGACGTTGTCTCGGGTCCGCATCAAGATAGTATTGTCTGACACCCACGATCCTGCCTCCCCTCTCACACCCCTCAATCCACTCCGGTCTGACCACAGGGATATTCGTCTCGACCGCCTTCTCCCACAGCATGCCCCTTCCCTCTGTAGTGACAAAATGTGTTGTATCAATGCGGACGGTATCCGCGATCTTGGCTCCTATCCTCTCCACGGCTTTCGTAAGGCTATCTCTCAGCTGCGCAGGCAGGATACCAGGGGTAACAGTGATTCCGCTTAGATCTGTCATCTTGTGTGTCTTGACGACTACCTTCTCGCTGCTGTATGTGCCAGCACTCGTCCTCAGCACTAGATGAAACGTGTATTCCGTGTCAATGGCCAATCCACTGATCTTTGTGCTATGGTTCTCGGTGGGCCTCGGGATGTTGCCTGCCTTCTGTCCATTGCGGAAAAGGGAAAGGGATATGATGTCGGCGGTTGCGACCTCGAGGGGCGCCCATTCGAGGACGACAGAGGTCTGGGTAGCATTTCTACAGCTGAGCTTGGGGGTGGCCGGCTCCTCGGCGCCGAAGGAGGAGTAGATTGAATCTTGGAGGGCGAGGAAAGCTGCTTGAGATTTGGTCTCGGAGTTGAGGTTTCGAGAGACGGTGATGTCCACTATACTGCCAGAGGAAATATGGGGTGGCAAGAGGATCGAGGGGAATTCGATCTGAGTTGCTTGTTAGCTGAGTTGAAGGTCGATTGGGAAGTGTTCTTGAAGGCCATACGAGTCTTTTATCTTGGGTCAGTAGTACTGCGACTCCAGCATCGACTTTTCCGACAGTCAATGAGATCAGCATCTTTGTGGGTTCTATTGTGAGCGATTTGGTGGTTGAAAGAGGTGTTGCAATAATTCGCGATAGAGAGACACGAACTCGACCTCGAGCTAGGGTTGGCTGGCGTTGTGATTGGTCAAGCGGCAAGGCTGGATAGGGTGGAAGGAAAGTTTTACCACAAAGTTGCAGTAACCATAGGCAACTCACAATCTCTTCATCTCAAAACTTAAATGCAGAGCCTGTAAGATGAAGATCAATGTCGTTATTTGGGATTTGTACATAAAGCCTTGTCCCTCTCTGCCTTCTTCACCGAATTTTCGTTTGGTTTGTTGGGCCTCAATGGACCAACTTGATGAGTCCTTCTCCTTAGCATGCCCTCAACAGCTCTATCTGTCTGTAATATCAGATCCTCCATCTTCGTCTTTAGCAGAGCCTCCAAAGGTGAAATATGCGCCGTGCCCGTCAATGGTGGTTGCGCCTCTGCACCAGGCAATCTGCTCCCATCAGGCCCGTATCCTTTCTTCCTCAACGACTCGGTGAAGGCATGTCTCATCTTCCTGTTCATATGACTCCGTATTACCCTAGGCGCCCGCACGCTCTTGTACGTTATGGTATACCACCAGAAGGTGTCTGTTCGCTTGGCAAAGCGTTCTTGAAAGACGGGTGCCAATGGATGGAAACAGGTGTTGCCGTCGAGCCATGCTCGAGATGTGAGGGAGTAGACAGGCGCATTTCTGTATTTCATCAAGAATGCCACCGCTGGACCGCCGGGCATCTTTAAGATGGACAGGGCATTGTGCTCCAAAATCTCGCCCATCATTGGGGAGGCCGCTCTGGTAATGATTCTGGAGGCCATTGTAGCGAAGTTGAGACTGCAGGTTTATCCTTAGATTGTTGTGACTTGATTTGTGGATTCCATCAAAAGTGCATCATAAGTCCGTAGAGTATCCTCCACTGTGCCTTTTGGTGGTGGTCTTGCTTTAAAGAATTGCAATCCAACTAAGGACGCAACCGCCAGTCAAAACTTTTAGGTTTGTTCTGACCGGCTAGCGCCACCCTTAGTTTCGAAGCGAGCCTCTGACGCACTCGGAGGTCCCGGTCTCGACTGGAAAGTTGTAAATAACATCAAACATCAACATCACCAGCTCCTCTTTTGACCCAACAACCACGCCTTCCAGTCCGACTTCAGGCTTTAATACCACCGGAATCACATATCCCACACTTGATAACAGAACTCTGTCAACATGCCCAAGAATAAGGGAAAGGTAAGCCCCCGCACCCGCACCCTCACCCTCGCCCCCACCTCAGAGCGCGCAAAGAGGCGGCGCTGACAAGATCTTGCATGCAAAAGGGTGGTAAGAATAGGCGTCGAGGAAAGAACGAGAACGACAACGAGAAGCGCGAGTTGACCTTCAAGGAGGAAGGTCAAGGTACGTGTTACCTCCTCACCTTCCATGAGATTCCACCTTCGGACCCCACTATCTTCAACATCTTCCGACTAACCCCTCCAACAGAATACGCCCAAGTCCTCAAGATGCTAGGAAACGGCCGCCTAGAGGCTCTCTGCTTTGACGGCTCCAAGCGCCTGGCACACATCCGAGGCAAGCTCCGCAAGAAAGTCTGGATCAACCAGGGCGATATCATCCTGCTCTCGCTCCGAGACTACCAAGACGAGAAGGGCGACGTGATCCTCAAGTACAGCGCCGACGAAGCCCGCTCGCTCAAGGCATACGGCGAGCTCCCCGAGAGTGCTAAGATCAACGAGACGGACACATACGGCCAGGAGGGCGAGGGCGACTGCAACTTCGAATTCGATGAGGATCGCAGCGATAGCGACGATGAGGATGGGAAGGGTAAGGAAATTGATGTCGATGATATCTAGAGATCTAGAGAGTGCATGGGCATTTTCGGGATGGTATGATGGACAGGTGGACTGATGGGTGGGTGGCAAGGCATGGTGGTGACGAAAAGAAAGACTGTCTTCTCTCTCAATCTCATAGCGGTAGTCACGACCTAGACTGCTGCCTGGGAACCTCGACAGGATGTTTTCTTTCGGTGGACTGGCGGTGGGTTGCGATGGGAGAGACGTTGCAACTCATTGACTAGGCTGTTCTTGTTTGGCTTCCTCTTCTCGGAGACCGGCTTGGATTCATGGTGAGCCTTCTGGGCTGAATCGGATCCAGACTCTTTATTCAAAAGAAAATAGATACGCGCATTGCATTTACAATAATGGGTTGGGCTTCACCGTATGTGATTACATTCCAACTTCCTTTAACACTGCTTGAGCATGACAATTCCTTTCTCACACTCGCAACGCCTTGGATTGCCCAAGTGCTCAAACACCCCCTATCTCCATCTTCAAAAGCAGAATCGACCACCTACCAATCATCGTCATCCGCCTCATCATCTATGATAAAATTAGCCTTCGAAGTCAAGTTATAGGGGTTCTGAACTTACCACTTGCGCTAACCTTCTGCTTCCGCTTATTCAAAGCAGCTGCCAATGCACCAGCCAAACCACCATCGCCCCCTCCGGTTGCACCAGCAGGGGGCAAACCACTACCCGCTGGTCCGGTATCACTCCCTGGTATCGCAGCCTGACTTCTATCTCTGATTTGAGAGCGATCAACCTTCTTGAGTGCTCCAATACCACCTGCTTTCTGTATGTTGGCCATCAGGTCTGCGCGGTCACCAGTTGGTTGTGGTAGAGAGGCAGGAGGTCCAGCTTGATGCCCTGAGTCACGATCTGGTGGGGGTGGTGGGGGTGCTGGAGGCCCTCCAAAAGATGGCATAGGGGGCGGGGGTGGTGCATTTGAGGATGGCAAGGGGGGAGGCGGCGGCGCATTT